AATCAAATCACATTTTATTTGTCACATTTGCCGAATACAACAGGTGTAGACCTTACCGTGAAACGCCTACTTACAAGCCCTTAACCAACAATGCAGTTTTAAGAAAAATAAGAGTTAAGAAAAGAAGTAACACAATAAAATAACAATAATGAGGCTATATACAGGGGGTACCGGTACCGAGTCAATGTGCGGGGGTACAGGCTAGTCGAGGAGGTAATTGAGGTAATATGTACATATAGGTAGGGGTAAAGTGACTATGCATAGATAATAAACAGCGAGTAGCAGCAGCGTAAAAATAGGGGAGCTCAATGCCAATAGTCCGGGTAACCATTTGATTAGCTGTTCAGCAGTTTTATGGCTTGGGTGTAGAAGCTGTTAAGGATCCTTTTGGACCTAGACTTGGCACTCCAGTACCTCTTGTCGTGCGGTAGCAGAGAGAACAGTCTATGACTAGGGTGGCTGGAGTCTTTGGCCATTTTTAGGGCCTTCCTCTGACACCGCTTGGTATAGAGGTCCTGGATGGCAGGAAGCTTGGCCCCAGCTAGCTAGCTTACTGGGTAGCCAACCCTTTTGATGATTGTTAAATAAAATGTCAAACAGCATTTAATCTGTAACTTCGACACAGATGCTAAACTACAGGACTGTTTTTCTAGCACAGACTGGAATATGTTCCGGGATTCTTCCGATAGCATTGAAGAGTACACCACATCAGTCACTGGCTTCATCAATAAGTGCATCGATGACGTCGTCCCCACAGTGACCGTACGTACATACCCCAACCAGAAGCCATGGATTACAGGCAACATCCACACTGAGCTAAAGGGTAGAGCTGCCGCATTCAAGGAGCGGGACTCTAACCCAGACGCTTATAAGAAATCCCACTATGCCCTCCGACGAACCATCAAACAGGCAAAGACTCAATACAGGACTAAGATTGAATCGTACTACACCAGCTCCGACGCTCGTCGGATGTGGCACGGCTTGAAAACTATTACAGACTACAAAGGGAAGCACAGCCGCGAACTGCCCAGTGACACAAGCCTACCAGACGAGCTAAATCACTTCTATGCTCGCTTCTAGGCAAGCAACACTGAAGCATGCATGAGAGCATCAGCTGTGTATCATGGTCCAAACACACCAAGACATTCGTGAAGAGGGCACGACAAAGCCTATTCCCCCTCAGGAGACTGAAAAGATTTGGCATGGGTCCTCAGATCCTCAAAATATTCTACAGCTGCACCATCGAGAGCATCCTGACTGGTTACATCACTGCCTGGTATGGCAACTGCTTGGCTTCTGACCGCAAGGCACTACAGAGGGTAGTGCGTACGGCTCAGTACATCACTGGGGCCAAGCTTCCTGCCATCCAGGACCTCTATACCAGGCAGTGTCAGAGGAAGGCCCTCAAAGTTGTCAAAGACTCCAGCCACCCTAGTCATAGACTGTTCTCTCTGCTACCGCACGGCAAGCGGTACCGGAGTGCCAAGTCTAGGTCCAAAAGACTTCTCAACAGCTTCTACCCCCAAGCCATAAGACTCCTGAACAGCTAATCATGGCTACCCGGACTATTTGCACTGCCCCCCCACCCCATCTTTTTACACTGCTGCTACTCTGTTAATTATTTCTGCATAGTCACTTTAACTCTACCCACATGTACATATTACTTCAACTACCTCAACTAGCCGGTGCCTTTTTTATTAAAAATAAATGCACTGTTGGTTAAGGGCAGTAAGTAAGCATTTCACTGTAATGTCTGCACCTGTTGTTTTCGGCGCATGTGGCCAATACAATTTGATTTGATTTGATTTGATTTGATTTGTTCCGGATGACTATGTGATCACGCTCTCCGTAGCCGATGTGAGTACTCCATAGTGCCCTCAAAGCTCATCACTAAGCTAAGGATCCTGGGACTAAACACCTCCCTCTGCAACTGGATCCTGGACTTCCTGACGGGCCGCCCCCAGGTGGTAAGGGTAGGTAACAACACATCTGCCACACTGATCCTCAACACATCTGCCCCACCCCATCTTTTTACGCTGCTGCTACTCTGTTAATTATTTATGCATAGTCACTTTAACTCTACCCACATGTACATATTACTTCAACTACCTCAACTAGCCGGTGCCCCCGGCAAGTTGAGGTAGTTGAAGTAATATGTACATGTGGGTAGAGTTAAAGGGACTATGCATAAATAATTATTTTGTTGTTGTTGTTTTATTAAAAATAAATACACTGTTGGTTAAGGGCAGTAAGTAAGCATTTCACTGTAATGTCTGCACCTGTTGTATTCGGCGCATGTGGCCAATAACATTTGATTTGATTTGATTTGAGTAAGACTTTTAAGCAGGTCAACATTCACAAAACCGCAGGGCAAGACGGATTACCATGACGCGTACTCCGAGCATGCACTGACCAATTGGCAAGTGTCTTCACTGACATTTTCAACATATCCCTGACTGAGTCTCTAATAGCAACATGTTTCAAGCAGACCACCATAGTCCCTGTGGCCAAGAACACTAAGATAACCTGCCTAAATGACTACCGACCCGTAGCACTCACGTCTGTAGCCATGAAGTGCTTTGAAAGGCTGGTCATGGCTCACATCAACACCATTATCCCAGAAACCCTAGTCCCACTCCAATTTGCATACCTCCCCAACAGATCCACAGACGATGCAATCTCTATTTCAAGAGGAACACCTACGTGAGAATGCTATTCATTGACTACAGCTGAGCGTTCAACACCATACTGCCCTCAAAGCTCATCACTAAGCTAAGGACCCTGGGACTAAACACCTCCCTCTGCAACTGGATCCTGGACTTCCTGACGGGCCGCCCCCAGGTGGTAAGGGTAGGTAACAACACATCTGCCACGATGATCCTCAACATGGGGGCCCCTCAGAGGTGCGTGCTCAGTCTCCTCCTGTACTCCCTGTTCATCCATGACTGCATGGCCAGGCACGACTCCAACACCATCATTAAGTTTGCCAACGACACAACAGTGGTAGGCCTGATCACAGACAACGATGAGACAGCCTATAGGGAGGAGGTCAGAGACCTGGCCGTGTGGTGCCAGGATAACAACCTCTCCCTCAATGTGATCAAGACAAAGGAGATGATTGTGGACTACAGGGAAAAAAAAGAGGACTGAGCACGCCCCCATTCTCATCGACGGGCTGTAGTGGAACACGTTGAGAGCTTCAAGTTCCTTGGTGTCCACGTCACCAACAAACTATCATGGTCCAAACACACCAAGACAGTCGTGAAGAGGGCATGACAAAGCCTATTCCCCCTCAGGAGACTGAAAAGATTTGGCATGGGTCCTCAGATCCTCAAAAAGTTATACAGCTGCACCATCGAGAGCATCCTGACTGGTTGCATCACTGCCTGGTATGGCAACTGCTCGGCCTCTGACCGCAAGGCACTACAGAGCGTAGTGTGTACAAAGTAGATGATTGTGGACTACAGGGGAAAAAAATATGACTGAGCACGCCCCCATTCTCATCGACAGGCTGTAGTGGAACAGGTTGAGAGCTTCAAGTTCCTTGGTGTCCACGTCACCAACAAACTATCATGGTCCAAACACACCAAGACAGTCGTGAAGTGGGCAAGCTTCCTGCCATCCAGGACCTCTATACCAGGCGGTGTCAGAGGAATGCCCTAAAAATTGTCAAAGACTCCAGCCACCCTAGTCATAGACTGTTCTCTCTGCTACCGACGGCAGGCGTTACCGGAGCGCCAAGTCTAGGTCCAAAAGGCTTCTTAACAGCTTCCTCCCCCAAGCCATAAGACTCCTGAACAGCTAATCATGGCTACCAGGACTATTGGCATTCTGCACATGATTTGAGTTGAACTTTCATCATTCTACCAATACTTTTTTCTTGCTCTTACAGGCTCAAGGTTGGTTTGCTCAATGAGAAGCTCCTGTCTGGTTTGGACCACTGATTTACACTTCCAAATTTGAATTCAGTGACGTAACGTCACACGTGCGTCTTTAGCTGATTACTCTCGTCTGAACTGAACAGGCACGCCAATCGCTCTGGGTTTGATTACTCTGCCTTGCAGATGAATTTGTGCGTCATTTCCTTATTGTAATTCGCAATATTCGAGCGCCATATGGTTTCGTTTCATGTGGAAACGAAAGGCTAGCCTTGTTTATTTTGTAAAGTTCTGTTGTTGCCAATATAATTATATCTGCTGTTAATTTCAAAATGAGTGAAGACCCTGACTCTCCTCCCGAAAGGGAAATGAAGGTAGGCAAACTATTGTAGCTAGCACGTTAACTAGCTTGTAGCATTAGCTTGTTAGCTTGCTAGTTTATTTCCGCAGCAAGTAACTTAGTTTGTCTGCCTGTGAACCAGCTAGTGTTTATGCTAGTTAGTTAGCTCGCTAGATAGCTATCTAGCTAAAAGCAAGGACGGGTTAACTCGTTCTCGTTTTGTCTTCCAACTGAAGTACGTTATTTCTTACTGCCCAATGCTAGCTAGTAGCTAGCCTATATTTTAGTCAAAGATGGCTAGCCAAGGCAGACTCAACTAGCTAACAACAACATCATGAACATCAAACATGTCTCCATACAATTTAGCAATGTATGGATTAACAACAGTGTATAGCTAGCAGTGTACAGTTGGGTGTCTAACACTGACCTTCAGCTGTAACGTTAACTAACTTAGTAACTAGCTATGCCAGCTAATTAGCTACCTACAAGTTAGCTGGTTAGTTTCATGCATTTATAAATGCTGTGGTGCGCCTAATGTTGTTTTTGCTATTAGGAACATGTATTATAGGAGGCATTCATTCAGCTGCTAGCTATCCCAACGTTGGTAGAAATACTACAATAAAGTACCAGCTAACTTATTTACAAATCCACCACGTCCTGTCAACAATATCTTGTTGTTAACATAGTCAAAATGTTCTTTACAGACCTTAAACGGGTAACGTTAGTCTACATGAGACTAAATTCAGTGCAATCACAGTCATGAAGTATTGTATTATTATTTTATGCAGGATTTTCAGTTCCGGCAAATGAAGAAAACCCGGGTCTTTGATTCACCTGATGACCTACCGAAGGATAGATCAAGTCTGCTCGCAGTCTCCAACAAATTTGGACTGACATTTGTCGGACTAGACAGAAAGATCAAGGTGTACCTCACAGGGGACATCCTAGCTTCAGACAAAGTTGATGGGAACTCCAATGAAATAGGTAAGATTTTCCGTACATTGGTCATTCTGTCTTGTACAGTTTTCATAAGCAAAGACAGTTATGGCTTGCCTTGGCCAAGTTAACTTGACTTTACCTTTTTCTCTCAATCTTACTCCTTCTCTCTCTTTCTCCCCTTTCTCAGTTGAGGGGATAGCAGCCTTGGCTGATGTTCATGTGGAGTTGCCTGTGCACAACCTGGGCCTCAGCAGTGATGAGCTCACCCTGTCAGTCAGCGGCATGTCAGAAGCATCAGGCCTGTCGCTGGCCTTCTATGACGTCCGCACCTTCATCAACAAGGTGATTAACGAACTCTCATAACAACCTCCCACTGCTAATGGGTTTGGACAGTGTCCGAAAACCTAATTTTTTCAGAATGAAGTGATACGGTTTCATCATAGTCCATGATTTGATATCAAATGAAAGCACACCAAGGTTAGTCAACCCCACTTCTTCAGTTCCATATTTTTCCCACACACCTAATCCCAACACTTCCATGGTTGCCCCCTCTCTCCAGGCCCGACCGCAGAAGTTGCCGTTTGCGACTCTGCGACCTAGAGCCGGCCTGGGCATAATTGTGCAGGACCTCAAATGGAACCCAGTGCAGGTGTCCATGCTGGCCGCCTGTCTGTCTGACGGCAGCATGATGGTGCTGGAGGTCACAGACAGCGTCACAGTGCAGGCCCAGCTACCTGCCACAGAGGGCATCACCTGTGGTAAGTGTGACATAGTGTGTAATCACTTTGAGGTATACATGCAAAAATTATTGTAATTTGTCATGTAATTGTAATTTTATACAATTTTGTTCACTTTCTGTCATCCTCTCCCTTCACACAGTGTGCTGGAGTCCCAAAGGAAAGCAAGTGGCAGCTGGAAAAATGAATGCAACAGTCAGTCAGTACACTCCAGTAAGTCTCAGTATAATACATTAACAACGGTAGACACACTCATTATTCCTGTGAAGTCTGGTGTGTATGATGAATTATGCCCTGGTCTGACTCTGACTGTGCTCCCCTGAACAGGGGCTTCAGGAGAAGAAAGTGATCCCCTGCCCAAGCTTCTACAGCTCCGACAACCCTGTCAAAGGTAAACTAGACAGATCAGGCTGGCCTGAAGCAATAAACCTCCTTGCCTTTTATTTTTATTTTCAGTGCCTTTATTTTCCTGCCAGATAACATATATTTGAGATTCTGGTTTTCTTTGTGTTGTCCTTTCTCTGTCAGTGCTGGATGTGCGGTGGCTGAGTACGTTTGTGTTTGCTGTGGCGTATGCAGCAGCCGACGGCAGTCCGGAAACACCTCCTGAACTGGTGGTGATCTCCCTCCCTGTGAGTAGTACCACTGCTCTGTCATACATCTGAATGATGAGATCATTTTGCAGTGTTAATTGTTATAATACTAATAGGGTCATTTCACTCAGTGACTGAAATGTTTTCCCTCTTAAGTGATAGTTTATGTGTTTGCCTTTTTCATTAGTACTGAAACCATTTTGACAATTAACATGTTGCTATGACAGACAAAGACAGAGAAGAGGGAGGAGAGGTACCTGAACTTCAACGACCCGGTGTACGGCACCTGCACAGAGAGACAGCACCACTACTTCCTCAGCCACATAGAGGACTGGTGAGACGGTCCTCACTCTGTATTCTGCCCTGCCTGTCTGCAGAACGTTTTTATTTTCTTGTTTGTAGAAAGTGGCTTTTGTATGCATATAAGCTCTGTTCCGTTTCCCTCTGGCTCTCAACTTCAGTGTTCGAGGAACAGCCGTGAGGTTGGTGAATCACTTATTCTCATTGTTATTTTTCTTCTTTCAGGGACGTTGTTCTTGCCGCATCAGCAGCCTCCATTGAAGTCAGTGTCATCGCCAAGCAAGAGGATAAGGTAATATTTGTGAATCAGCATTGGTTTGATTCTCACTCTGGGCCTTAGAAAGACATCGCCTCAGCGTCTTCTGATTAATTATTATGGAGTAGTAAAGCCCTAATCAAAGGCCAACTGATATTGATCAAGTGAGCCACTGAGTGTCTGTGTTGTCATGTAACCTCTCTGTGCCATGTGGTGGTGTTCAGACCAACTGGGAGCTGTGGCTGCTGGAGGACGCCAGCAGGGGAGAGCTGCCAGTCTCTCAGAATAACGACGACACACTGCCTCTGGGGCTGGCCATCGACTACACCAGCCAGCAGGAGATCCACATCAGTGAGTGGTTGCTGCTTTCTCCCCTTCCAGCTTTCCACATTCTTCTGACCCCATTCCAAACCGGTCACTTTCTCCTTGATGGATTTCTAATTCTCCCCTTGCTGAATGAAAAGACTTTGCCATATTGTTACCAGTCCAGTTCATGCAGATCTAAGAGTGTACAGTAGGCAGGAAGGGTCAAGCAAAAGAAGCTGGTGAACCATTTGAAATCAGCTGATATGTTTGTCAACAATGTAGGGTTGACCCCATTTAGTCGACTTGTCGATTGTTTGGTCGATAGGCTGTTGGTCGACCGAGATTTCTTTACTCGAGCAGTAGCACAAAACATTGTTGATTGGCTCCTGTCTGAGTGGACTGATCCATTGTGGAGGCCGTGGGGATGGCCCAGTCCATCAGTCTAAGACGTGCTACTGAAATTGTATATTGTTACATTATGTAAGAACAATGGTGCAATACAAATAACAATAATATTATTTTATAACAAATGTGCGTTCTCCCGCGTTGGATAGTGGTCGCTGTCCGCGGTTCTGAACACATCGGTGCACCATTGGTGCCTTTTCCTAGACCATGTTGCTATGTGCATAATAGCAAAGTTAACCAGCATATTGGTGTTGAGAAAAATGTGGCGGAGGCAGCAACGGAGTTTGGAGACGACAAAACAACCCTTGCCTTAATTGTCTAAGAAAAGTGAGGAGAGAGGAAACACTAACTTAAGTAGGTCTATAATCAATCGCCTAACTGTTAAATGTGCCTGGCTTTATAAATCATACATGTATATGTACAGAAATAAGACAGATCCTGCTTCTGTTGCCTGTTTGAGTGTTTGTTTATTAGCCTACTGATTCCGTGAGCACCAAGACTCACGCAACCACGTCGGATAAACAATTTCACAAATTCGTCTGTTTTTAATCTTTGCTATGCTGTAATAAAGGCTGGACCAGCCTCTCTGGTATTATTTGTAATTTATTTAGTGTTGTTTCCACTGTTCCAAATTGTCTGAAATTATATTTATTATAATAATAACCCTCCTTTTTCCTTGATCTCCTTATTGTTATTATTATTATTATGATCATCGTTATAATAATAAGTAATGTCATTATCATTAGTAGGCTTAGGATAGCAGCCTTGTATAACGACCATCAAGCCGTAGGCCTAAGAGTGCATCCTGTTTATTCTTAATACCATAACTTACTTAGGCCTATATTTCAATACTTATATAGGCTACTGTGTCAATCAATCATTTATTTGTTCATGTCATCACACAGCATACGAGTTATTCATGTTTTGAAATGCAATCAAGCATTTTATTTTAAAAATAAAATAACAAAGAGACCATTGAATAATTAGCGTAAACAATAAATGGGCCTAAACCGTTCAATGAATGCGACTGTTTTTAGTCTGCTGTAATAAAGGCTTTACCAAAACAAAAACAAAAACCTTACAGCAGACTCTCTGGCACTCTTATAATTTATGTAGTGTTGTTTACGTTCTTCCAAACGGTCAGAAATGTTTTATTGGAATCTAACAGCACGTTTGGCACACATAATATGCACACAGCGCTTGCTCCTTACCTTCTTTTTCTTGATCTCCAGTATTTTCCGCAACTAGTCAAATTTATTCCACACATCTGACTTCCCCTTTACCTCCTGAGCAACCAGTAAACATTCCCCCATTTTGAGTTTATTTGTCACGTCCTCTGCATCCATTTTGCTGTCACATGTGTTACGGTGTTCAGAGGTTGTTATAACCAATTTATTGATGTGATTATGATAATCTATAGGTCAGGCCCTATTGATCACGTGCATGCGATGCATACGTGTCACGTAAAGAGAGTAAGTGTTGAGGGAATAGGGAATGTTTTTCCTAAACAAATTAGGGATTTCGGTAACAACTTTTCAGTCAGAAATGGCTGTAATTATGTTACAGCTCCAGCAATACAGACAGTGCGATACACACTGTTGATGTTCTGTGGTGGTCGCTGCAGCAGGGAGGAGAGACAACGGGTGCTAGTCACAGTCACTCGCTGTCTTTTTTTTATTTTTTACCACAGCGCTGCAAGTCTGAGCCATGCCCGGCACAATCAAATCAATTGCGGTCGGACTCCCTCTAGTCATTTGTGTGTCTTAATTATTTCATCCAAGCATCAGACAAGCTCAGTGCATATAGTTGATTTGATTAAAACACATAGGATGTGTCTATACAGTGGCTTGCGAAAGTATTCACCCCCCTTGGCATTTTTCCAATTTTGTTGCCTTACAACCTGAAATTAAAATGGATTTTTTTGGAGTTTGTCATTTGATTTACACATCATGCCTATCACTTTGAAGATGCAAAATATGTTTTATTGTGAAACAAACAAGAATTAAGACAGAACAGAACTTGAGTGTGCATAACTATTCACCCCCCCAAAGTCAATACTTTGTAGAGCCACCTTTTGCACCAAATACAGCTGCAAGTCTCTTGGGGTATGTCTCTATAAGCTTGGCACATCTAGCCACTGGGGTTTTTCCCATTCTTCAAGGCAAAACTGCTCCAGCTCCTTGGATGGGTTCCGCTGGTGTACAGCAATCTTTAAGTCATACCACAGATTCTCAATTGGATTGAGGTCTGGGCTTTGACTAGGCCATTCCAAGACATTTAAATGTTTCCCCTTAAACCACTCGAGTGTTGCTTTAGCAGTATACTTAGGGTAATTGTCCTGCTGGAAGGTGAACCTCCGTCCCAGTCTCAAATCTCTGAAAGACTGAAACAGGTTTCCCTAAACAATTTACCAGTATTTAGCGCCATCCATCATTCCTTCAATTCTGACCAGTTTCCCAGTCCCTGCCGATGAAAAACATCCCCACAGCATGATGCTGCCACCACCATGCTTCACTGTGGGGATGGTGTTCTCGGGGTGATGAGAGGTGTTGGGTTTGTGCCAGACATAGTGTTTTCCTTGATGGCCAAAAAGCTACATTTTAGTCTCATCTGACCAGGTACCTTCTTCCATATGTTTGGGGAGTCTCCCACATGCCTTTTGGCGAACACCAAACGTGTTTGCTTATTTTTTTTCTTTAAGCAATGGCTTTTTTCTGGCCACTCTTCCGTAAAGACCAGCTCTGTGGAGTGTACGGCTTAAAGTGGTCCTATGGACAGATACTCCAATCTCCACTGTGGAGCTTTGCAGCTCCTTGAGGGTTATCTTTGGTCTCTTTGTTGCCTCTGATTAATGCCCTCCTTGCCTGGTCCGTGAGTTTTGGTGGGCGGCCCTCTCTTGGCAGGTTTGTTGTGGTGCCATATTCTTTCCATTTTTTTATTATGGATTTAATGGTGCTCCGTGGGATGTTCAAAGTTTCTGATATTTTTTTATAACCCAACCCTGATCTGTACTTCTCCACAACTTTGTCCCTGACCTGTTTGGAGAGCTCCTTGGTCTTCATGGTGCTGCTTTCTTGATGGTGCCCCTTGCTTAGTGGTGTTGCAGACTATGTGGCCTTTCAGAACAGGTGTATATATACTGGGATCATGTGACGGCACATGTGACACTTAGATTGCACACAGGTGGACTTTATTTAACTAATTATGTGACTTCTGAAGGTAATTGGTTGCACCAGATCTTATTTAGGGGCTTCATAGCAAAGGGGGTGAATACATACACACGCACCACTTTTCCGTTATTTATTTTTTAGAATTCTTTGAAACAAGTTATTTATTTAATTTCACTTCACCAATTTGGACTATTTTGTGTATGTCCATTACATGAAATCCAAATAAAAATCCATTAAAATTACAGGTTGTAATGCAACAAAATAGGAAAAACGGCAAGGGGGATGAATACTTTTGCAAGGCACTGTATATGGAAAAATACAAGTTTTTGTATTTTATTAGGATCACCGTTAGGTGTTGCAAAAGCTGCAGCTACTCTTCCTGGGGTTCACACAAAACATGAAACATGACAGAACATTAATAATAATAATTAATAGACAAGAACAGCTCAAGGACAGAACTACATCAATATATATATATATATATATATATACATATCAATACATACACACAAACTATCTAGGGGATAGGCGTTGTGCCGTGAGGTGTTGCTTCATCTGTTTTTTAAAACAGGTTTGCAGTTCATTTGAGCAACATGAGATGGAACCGGAGTTCCATGCAATAATGGCTCTATATAATACTGTACGCTTTCTTGAATTTGTTTTGGATTTGGGGACTGTGAAAAGACCCCTGGTGGGGTAAGTGTGTGTGTGTTTGAGCTCTGTGTAAGTTGACTATGCAAACAATTTGGGATTTTCAACACATTAATGTTTGATGCAGTCAGTCTCTCTCCAACTCTTAGCCAAGAGAGACTGGCATGCATAGTATTTTTATCTTCCCTCTGATTACAATGAAGAGCAAGTTTTACGTTTTTTTTAATTTCGAACAATCGATTGGTCGAAAGAACAGACGACTCTTTGGTTATGGTAATTTCTGTTAATGCATTCAATATATAATGAATATACAAAACATTAAGGACACCTGCTCTTTCCATGACAGACTGACCAGGTGAATCCTAGTGAAGGCTATGATCCCTTATTGATGTCACTTGTTAAATCCACTTCAATCAGTGTAGATAGGAGAATAGACAGGCTAAGGAAGGATTTTTAAACTTTAAGACAATTGAGACATGGATTGTGTATGTGTGCCATTCAGAGGGTGAATGGGGAAGACCACCGATTTGTGTCTTTGAACAGGGTATGGTAGTAGGTGCCAGGCGCACCGGTTTGTGTCAGGAACTGCAACGCTGCTGGGTTTTTCACGCTCAACAGTTTCCCATGTGTATCAACAATGATCCACCACCCAAAGGACATCAGCCAACTTAACACATCTGTGCAAATCATTGGAGTCAACATGGGCCAGCATTCGACATCTTGTAGAGTCCATGCCCTGACGAATTGAAGCTGCTCTGATGGCAAAAGGGTGGGCTGCAACTCAATATTAGGGATGTGTTCCTAATGTTTGATATACTCTGTGTAATATTATTATTATTACAGTCATTTACCGTTCTCATTATCGGCGTGGACATGTTTGTAGAGCTCACAACGTACAGTGCATTCGGAAAGTATTCAGACCCCTTGACTTTTTACACGTTGTTATATTACAGCTTTATTCTAAAATTGATTAAATCGTGATCAATCTACACCCAATACCCCATAATGACGAAGCAAAAACAGGTTTTTAGAAATGTTTGCAAATGTACAAAAATCTGATTCTACTGCTTGCATCAGTTACCTGATGTGGAATAGAGTTCAATGTGGTCATGGCTCTATGTAGTACTGTGCGCCTCCCATAGTCTGTTCTGAACTTGGGGACTGTGAAGAGACCTCTGGTGGCATGTCTTGTGGGGTATGCATGGGTGTTTGAGCTGTGTGCTAGTCGTTTAAACAGACAGCTCGGTGCTTTCAACATGTCAATACCTCTCACAAAGTAGTGATGAAGTCAATCTCTCCTCCACTTTGAGCCAGGAGAGATTGACATTAATATTTTTAATGTTTGCTCTCTGTGTACATCCAAGGGCCAGCCGTGCTGCCCTGTTCTGAGCCAATTGCAGTTTTATTTAGTCCCTCTTTGAGGCACCTGACCACACGACTCAACAGTAGTCCAGGTGCGACAAAACTAGAGCCTGTAGAACATGCCTTGTTGATAGTGCTTTTAAGAAGGTAGAGCAGTGCTTTATTATGGACAGACTTCTCCCCATCTTAGCTACTGTTTTATCAATGTTTTGACCATGACAGTTTACAATCCAGGGTTACTCCAAGCAGTTTAATCACCTCAACTTGCTCAATTTCCACATTATTTATTACAAGATTTAGTTGAGGTTTAGGGTTTAGTGAATGATTTGTCCCAAGTACAATGCTTTTAGTTTTTGAAATATTTAGGACTAACTTATTCCTTGCCACCCATTCTGAAACTAACTGTAGCTCTTTAAGTGTTGCAGTCATTTCAGTCACTGTAGTAGCTGACGTGTATAGTGTTGAGTCATCCGCATACATAGACACACTGGCTTTCCTCAAAGCCAGTGGCATGTCGTTAGTAAAGATTGAAAAAAGTAAGGGCCCTGGGGAATTCCTGATTCTACCTGGATTATGTTGAAGAGGCTTCCATTAAATAACGCCCTCTGTGTTCTGTTAGACCGGTAACTCTTTATCCATAATATAGCAGGTCTCTCCAGATATGTTTGATCGGGTTCAAGTCTGGGCTCTGGCTGGGCCACTCAAGGACATTCAGAGACTTGTCCCGAAGCCACTCCTGCGGTATCTTGGCTGTGGGCTTAGGGGTCGTTGTCTTGTTGGAAGGTGAACCTTTGCCCCCAGTCTGAGCGCTCTAGAGCAGGTTTTCATCAAGGATCTCTCTGTACTTTGCTCTGTTCATCTCTCCCTCGATCCTGACTAGTCTCCCAGTCCCTGCCGTTGAAAAACATCCCCACAGCATGATGCTGCCACCCCCATGCTTCACCGTAGGGATGGTGCCAGATTTCCTCCAGATGTGATGCTTGGCATTCAGGTCAAAGAGTTCATTCTTGGTTTCATCAGACCAGATAATCTTGTTTCTCATGGTCTGAGAGTCCTTCAGGTGCCTTTTGGCAAACTCCAAGCGGGCTGTCATGTGCCTTTTACTGAGGAGTGGCTTCTGTCTGGCCACTCTACCATAAAGGCCTGATTGGTGGAGTACTGCAAAGATGGTTGTCCTTCTGGAAGGTTCTCCCATCTCCACAGAGGAACTCTGGAGCTCTGTCGGTGACCATCGGGTTCTTGGTCACCTCCCTGACCAAGGCCCTTCTCCCCCGATTGCTCAGTTTGGTCGGGCGGCCAGCTCTAGGAAGAGTCTTGGTGGTTCCAAACTTCTTCTATTTAAGAATGATGGAGGCCACTGTGTTCTTGGGGACCTTCAATGCTGCAGAAATGTTTTGGTACCCTTCCCCAGATCTGTGCCTCGACACAATCCTGTCTCGGAGGTCTACGGACAATTCCTTTGACCTCATGGCAACTGTGTATATAGACAGGTGTGAGCCTTTTCAAATCATGTACAATCAATTGAATTTACCACAGGTGGACTCCAATCAAGTTGTTTAAACATCTCAAGGATGATCAATGGAAACAGGATGCACCTGAGCTCAATTTCAAGTCTCATAGCAAAGGGTCTGAATACTTATGTAATTAAGGTATTTATGTTTTTATTTGTAATACATTTGCATGCATTTCTAAAAACCTGTTTTCCCTTTATCAATATGGGGTACTGTGTGTAGATTGATGAGGAAAAACATTCATGTAATTAATTTTAGAATACAGCTGTAACTTAACAAAATGTGGAAAAAGTCAAGGGTTTTGATTACTTTCCCGAAGGCACTCAGTTGATTTTACTAAAACACAAAGGGTGTGTCTATATATGGAAAAATACATGTTTTACAATTTCGACCAATCGATTGGTCGAAAGAGAAAACGACTTGTATACACTGTGTGATGTTCAGCTCCTCAGTGTCAGTCAGTAGCATTTTGTATGCGACGCTGGTTGGCGCATGTGTTCTTTTTGGTAGCTGTGAGATTAATATTGATAAGCCACTGTCTCGGTATCTACTGTTTAAGGCAGTCAGTCAGACAGTCACGTAGCACTACTGAAGTTGCTGTCTAGGTTCCCCGCTTAAAAGACTCCACCAGAAAACCGAACTAGCAATTTGAGCAGCACTTCTAAATGATTGTATTCTGATCGAACCCTGTCTCGAGAGACCTAGGCTGTATTGGATAGAGAGGGGGAGGCCCACATTCATTACAATGACTCGGACGAATGAGAGAACAACAACAACAACAAATAACAGAACCAGACAAGCATGTCTGAGAATGCTGATGAGGTTTACCTTGAGCTTTCAAATCTGTTGTTCTCTCTCTGGAGGGCAGAGTCTCAGGCAAGTAGACTCATTATTTGTCTCATCACACTGGCTTTAGTGCCGGTTTTCTCTCCAAGTGCTTGGGGCTTTGTTTCTTACTAAGAACTCAAGGTCTCTCACGTCACACAGGAATATAGCAATTCATATGCTCTGTCCTTGAAGTTGTCTCGGCTTTTGTTAATGTCCTATGTACTTGTGTGTTGACGTGCATCTTCCATGAGCTTTAGTGTGTGTTTGCCTGTGTGGGTGGGTGTATGTTTGTGTGCCTGTCGATAGCTGGGTGTTTGCCTTTTTGTTGCAGTCAAAGTGTGTGTATGCCTGTGTGTTTCTCTCTGGCTACTAATAGTAATACTGTACTTCACTTGATGTCTCTTTGCCCCACGAACGTATCTCCTATGTCACTACAGCCGATGAGAAGACATTGCCCCCGGCGCCCACTCTGCTGCTGCTGTCTACAGACGGAGTGCTTTGCCCCTTTTCACTGCTCAACCTCAACCCTGGTGTCAAGCAGCTGGTCGCTGCCCCCATCAGCCTGGTCCTGGACGGAGAGAGACTGCCCCATGCAGGTCTGGAGGAACTCATCAGCTTTTTCATATTTACGAATTGTGTTTTTTATTCTATCTCACTGAATACATTTGTCTTATGATACTTGCAGTACCTATACTACTATCATACTGTATAGTATTTATAATAGTGTTGTGATAGGGTCCACTAAAAGCAGCTCTCCTCTCTGCGTTGCAGGTTCTGCAGCTCCCCCGCCCCCTTACCCAACCTCCTCTCTCCCATCAGCCCCGGTGGCATTCCCTCCTCTTGGCCTCCCCTTGGCCACCACACCAAACCCTCCTGCCCCTGCCTCCTCCCCCGCCACATCTCCAGCCTCCTCATCCGGCTTCTCCTTCTCCATGCCCCCCTCCTCTTCCATTGCTTCCCCCGCCTTCTCTCTGGGGGGCTCTACGGCCTTCAGCACGGGCCCAGCCTTGGGCACCTCTGCTGGCTTCTCCTTCGCCTCCAAGCCCCCGACAGAGACCCCAGCCACAGCTTCGGCCTTCTCCTTCAGTGCCCCCAAACCTCCAGTGGTGGAAATGGCTCCAGCCCCCGCTCCGACGCCCACCCCCCAGCGCCTGGCCACCGCCTCCCCCATCATGGTGCTCCGAGGCACCCCCGAGCCAGCCACTCCCGCTGTGAAGATGAACCTCAATGACAGGTGAGAGGTTGAAATAAGTACCTGAATAACTTTGACTGTTCACATTTAACTTAGAACAGGAATGGGCAACTGGCGGCCCGCGGACCCCCTTTTGTAGGCCCGCGGACCAATTTCAACTAAATTAAAAACTACATTTTTGTTTGGGGGGGGGGGGCGACTCAGTTAGGGTCTGAACTTACTGTTGATAGTTAGAATAATAGAATACACAAGGTGCAGTTTCTAAATTTGGTTGTGCGTAAGCAGTCTTTGTATTTGGTATTTTATTAGGATCCCCATTAGCTGTTGCAAAAGCAGCAGCTACTCTTCCTGGGGTCCACACAAAACATGACATAATACAGAACATTAATAAACAAGAACAGCTCAAGGACATTTATTATTATTATTATTAAAGGCACACATAGCCTACATAACAATACATACAGTCGTGGTCAAAAGTTTAGAGAATGACACAAGTATTGGTCATCACAAAGTTCACTGCTTCAGTGTTTTTAGATTTTTTTGTCAGATGTTACTATGGTATACTGAAGTATAATTACAAGCATTCCATAAGTGTCAAAGGCTTTTATTGACAATTACATTAAGTTTATGCAAAGAATTAATATTTGCACAGTGTTGACACTTCTTTTTCAAGACCTCTGCAATCCGCCCTGGCATGCTGTCAATGTCAGTCACATCCTGACTGATGGCAGCCCATTCTTGCATAATCAATGCTTGGAGTTTGTCAGAAGTTATGGGGTTTTGTTTGTCCACCTGCTTCTAGAGGATCAACCACAAGTTCTCAATGGGATTAAGGTCTGGGGAGTTTCCTGGCCATGGACCCAAAATTTCAATGTCTTGTTCCCCGAGCCACTTAGTTATAAATTTTGCCTTATGGCAAGGTGCTCCATCATGCTGGAAAAGGCATTGGTCGTCACATTTACATTTGAGTCATTTAGCAGACGCTCTCATCCAGAGCGACTTACAGTTAGTGAGTGCTTAAATGTATTTTATTTTATTTTTTCATACTGGAATCGAACCCACAACCCTGGCGTTGCAAATGCCATGCTCTACCAACTGAGCTACATCCCTGCCGGCCATTCCCTCCCCCCTCCCTGGACGAGGCTGGGCCAATTGTGCGCCGCCCCATGGGTCTCCCGGTCACGGCCGGCTACGACAGAGCCTGGATTCGAACCAGGATCTCTAGTAGCACAGCTAGCACTGCGATGCAGTGCCTTAGACCACTGCGCCACTCGGGAGATGCAACCCCACACATGAATGGTCTCAGGATGCTTTACTGTTGGCATGACACAGGACTGATGGTAGCGCTCACCTTGTCTTCTCCGGACAAGGTGTTTTCCAGATGCCCCAAACAATCGGAAAGGGGATTCATCAGAGAAAATGACTTTACCCCAGTCCTCAGCAGTCCAATCCCTGTACCTTTTTCAGAATATCAGTCTGTCCCTGATGTTTTTCCTGGAGAGAAGTGGCTTCTTTGCTGCTCTTCTTGACACCAGGCCATCCTCCAAAAGTCTTCGCCTCACTGTGCGTGCAGATGCACTCACATCTGCCTGCTGCCATTCCTGAGCCAGCTCTGCACTGGTGGTATTCCGATCCCACAGCTGAATCAACTTTAGGAGACGGTCCTGGCGCTTGCTGGACTTTCTTGGGCGCCCTGACGCCGCCTTCACAACAATTTAACCTCTCTCCTTGAAGTTCTTGATGATCCGATAAATGGTTGATTTAGGTGCAATCTTACTAGCAGCAATATCCTTGCCTGTGAAGCCTTTTTTGTGCAAAGCAATGATGACGGCACGTGTTTCCTTGCAGGTAACCATGGTTAACAGAGGAAGAACAATGATTTCAAGCACCACCCTCCTTTTAAAGCTTCCAGTCTATTATTCTAACTCAATCAGCATGACAGAGTGATCTCCAGCCTTGTCCTCGTCAACACTCTCACCTGTGTTAACGAGAGAATCACTGACATGATGGCAGCTGGTGCTTTTGTGGCAGGGCTGAAATGCAGTGGAAATGTTTTTTTGGGGATTAAGTTCATTTTCATGGCAAAGAGGGACTTTGCAATTAATTGCGATTCATCTGATCACTCTTCATGACATTCTGGAGTATATGCAAATTGCCATCATAAAAACTGAGGCAGCAGACTTTGTGAAAATTAGTATTTGTGTCATTCTCAAAACTTTTGACCACGACTGTACACACAAACTATCTAAGTTGCCGTGAGGTGTTGCTTTATCTGTTTTTTTTAAACCAGGTTTGCTGTTTATTTGATCAATATGAGATGGAACAGAGTTCCATGCAATAATGGCTCTATATAATATATACGCTTTCTTGAATTTGTTCTGGATTTGGGGACTGAAAAGACCCCTGGTGGCATGTCTGGTGGGGTAAGTGTGTTTGTAAGTTGACTATGCAAACAATTTGGGATTTTCAACACATTGTTTCTTATAAAAAGAAGTGATGCAGCCTTAACAGTTCTAACAGTCCGTTTCTTAACAGGTGCATGTTTATCAATAATTGGAAGAAGCAATTTCATAAATTCATCAAGTGCATCATCTGGATGTGGGTACGCAGACCCACGAGCCACTGCGGCCCCTCATGAGGAGTTACGTTTTGTGGCCCCCACCCCCATCAAAGTTGCCCATCCCTGACTTAGATGATTGTTGGCTGGCTTGGCTAGATATGTTTGTTTCTGTCCCTCAGATTCCTGGCAGTGGAGACCCCTGCTGCAGCTTCAGCCTCCCAGCCCTTTTCCTTCAACTCCACCCCCAAAGCTGCCTTCTCTGAGCCCAGCAGCCAGCCCGCTCCACTGCCCATAGCCACCAAGCCTGCAGCCATGCCAGGTAAGGAGAATAATGAGCTTTGTTTATACAGCATAATTCATACAGATGTACAGTGCCTTCAGAAAGTATTCATACCCCTTGACTTATTCCTCATTTTGTTGTTACAGCCTGAATTCAATATTGATTAAATATATAAATATTTTCACCCATCCTCCTGAGACCCCGCCCATTGACTTATGTCCACTGTTGTGGACATTTGAGTTTCATCCCTCTTCTTGGAATATTTTGTGCAAGTCTCTTAATTCCTGCTGTACTGTACAGAGGACATCCTGGGCTTTTCAGTGATATGTCATTTGATTGGCTGGGAGGCCGGGAACCGCCTCTATCTTTCCTTTCAAAATGGACGGCAAAGGAACAAGCACATTTTATGGAAAGATGAGAGGTAAGTCAAATATTGTTTGTCTATGGTTTTGTTACTATGATAATCATATATTTTCTTGTTCATGAAGGTGTTAGGAATCATATATTTAGTTCTGATAGCAACTAAATTATGTATCTTTTGAAAGATTTGCCATTTTATGAATGTCAATTATAGTGGACATCAGGACTATCTTCATGTAAATAATGACTCCACATTGTCGTAGGAAACAGAACTGAAGCAGAAAGAATTCTTTACCGAATAGTCGAGGGAGATTCAGATTTGGAGTTGTCAGATGATGAGAGAGATGAGGATAAGTTTCAACCAGTGATACAAAACGGTGATGAAGAAGAGGAAGACAATGCAGAAGGCTCAGTTGAAGGGACAGATGCAGACACAGACACAGATACAGACAGGGATGAACAGGAAACTCGTCGCCCTCTGTGGGCCAGGAGTAACATGTATGTTTGATGCAGTTCCACAATTTTAAATTCAGCTGCATTGAGTATTTAAACTGTTATTACTTTTCATTTATTATTCTTTTTTCCTTCATATCAGATTTGCACCTGTGTTACCTGGGCTTCCTGTGTGTCAAGATAACCCTACAACACGTGCAGACTGGAGTCCAATTGAATACTTTTCACAGTACATTGACAACAAGGTCTTTGAAGATTTGGCAACATACACAAATCAAAGAGAGCTGCAAATCAAAGGAGTGTGCATGAACACCACGCCACAAGAAATAAAAATATTCTTGGGCATTTCAGTCCACATGGCCTGCCTTGGCTATCCCAGAATTAAAATGTTTTGGCCCAACAAAACTAAAGTGCCAGTCATAAGTAGCAAAATGACTAGGGATAGATTCTTCAGGATAAGAAATTCCCTCAAGATTGTCAATGACCTGGCTGTAACAGAGGAAACAAAGAAGGCAGATATTCTTTGGAAAGTCAGGCCAATACTCGATCGTGTGCGCCAAGGCTGTCTCAGCCTTGCAAAGCCAGAAAGGGTCTGCATTGATGAGCGAATCATCCCATTCACAGTCCGTTGTCCAGTCAGGCAATATGTTCCCGGCAAGCCAAACCCTACTGGCCTAAAGGTCTTTGTCCTTGCATCCCCAAATGGTCTGATGCTTGATTTTGAAGTCTACCAAGGGAAGAATACCTTTACAGTCCAAAGGTTAGGAGTTGGAGCTGCAGCAGTTCTACGCATGGTTGAATCTGTTCCAACAGGAAGCCACATATTCTTTGACAGGTACTTCACAACCATAGATCTATTGGATGCATTGCTGGCAAAGGGCCTTCCTGCAACTGGAACTATAATGAAGAACCGTGTCCCAAAGCTGTGCCAGCTGCCAGTAGACAAACAGTTGAAAAAAGAGGGGAGAGGAACATCAGTGTCAGTGGCCAGAAAGAGTCCTGAGCTGGCCATCACAAAATGGTTCGACAACAAACCAGTGCTCATGGCATCCACTGTACATGGGAAAGACCCAGAAGACATCTGTACCAGATGGTCCCAGAAAGAAAAGCACCTGGTCCAGGTTAAAAGACCAGCAGTAATTAAGCAGTATAATGATAACATGGGTGGCGTAGATCTTTGTGATCGCATGCTTAGCTTCTATCGTATGTCAAGCAGGACCAAGAAGTGGACATCGCGCGTGATCAGTCACTTCTTTGATGTTGCCATCACCAACTCCTGGATACAATACCAGTCTGACAGCAAAGCTCTGCACAGACCATCCAAGAACACACATCAGTACCTGGACTTCAAACTACTCCTAGCTGAGGAGCTGTTGGAGAGTCCGGAACTGGAAAACAGCTGTGAAGAGAGTGAGGATGAGTATGAGCCACCATCTAAAATGAGGATCCCACAACCAGAGCCATCTGTGCGCAGACTAGGAGCCATGCACATGCCTGAGATGATGGATACCAAGCATGCAGAAAGATGCAGAAATAAGGGCTGCAAGAGCAAGACGTACATGAGATGTACCAAATGCAAGATGTTCCTCTGCATTACCAAAAAGAGAAATTGCTTCCAGGACTTTCACCACTAACAAAGAAAATACTAAGAACAAAATGAAGAGTGAAGGAAAAAGCTAGATTGGATTCAGTTTGACAGAAGGAAAAAATCCAAAATAAATATGTTACACATTAGTTATATGTTCATTGTTCAAATAACACTGAAAGGATTCAAGGGGACCAATCAAAGGATATGGACATAACAAAGTGTTAAGCTTTAATAGTAAAGCTATCCTTGCGAAATGTAAGGAAAAGGATTCAAGAATGATTAATGTGTATTGTATAAACAAAATGTCTGTATTCTTGGATAATAATCAATCTACAGCCCAAAATGTATGTATTCTTAGTTCATAAAAACTCTGTAATCTGTAAGAACTCTGTAAAAATTTGTATCTACCAAATGTGTCTCTTTTCGTACTCAAATGATCCTGTTGTCCACTACAGTGGACATGCTGTAAAATAAAAAATTTAAATTAAAATTTAAATGTGGAAATTGTAGGATGCTTTTTTTAACCCTAAACAGTTATTGAATCACAAAAAATATGATTAGGAAAAACAATATTTTCCTTGGTTCTCAACACACACGATTACCCATAATGACAAAGTGAAAACATGTTTTTAGAAATGTTAGCAAATGTATTGAAAATAAATCTAATTTACATAAGTATTCACACCCCTGAGTCAACACTTTGTAGAAGCACCTTTGGCGGTGATTACAGCTTTGAGTCTTCTTGGGTATGTCTATCATATTTGGATTTGGGGAATTTCTCCCATTCTTCTTTGCAGATTTTCTCAAGCTCTGTTAAGTTAGATAGGGAGTGGCAGTGAACAGCAATCTTCAAGTCTTTCAGCAGATTTTCAATGGGATTCAAGTCTGGACTTTGGCTGGGCCACTCAAGGACTTTCACATTCTTGTTCTGAAGCCATTCCAACGTTGCTTCGGCTGTATGCTTGAGGTCATTGTCCTGTTGGAACGTAGATCTTTGCCCCCAGTCTAAGGTCATTTCCACTCTGTATTTGGCACCATTCACTGTTCCCTCTATCCTTACCACTTTGTCTCCCAGTGCCTGCCGCTGAAAAGCATACCAAAGCCCGATGCTGCCACCACCATGCTTCACGGTAGGGATGGTGTTAGACGGTTGATGAGCTGTGGCTGGTTTTCTCCAGATATAGCGCTTTGCATTCAGGCCAAAGAGTTACATTTTTGTCTCATCAGACCACAGAATCTTTTGCCTTACGCTCTGAGTCTTTCACGCGCCTTTTTGCAAACTCCAGGTGTGCTGTCATGTGCCTTTTTTCTCAGGAGTGGCTTCCGTCCAACCACTCTCCCATAAAGCCCAGAATGGTGAAGAGCTGTAGAGACTCTTGTCCTTCTTGCAGGTTCTCCCATCTCTGCCAAGGAACGCTGTAGTTCTGTCAGAGTGGTCATTGGGCTCTTGGTCACCTCCTTCTTGCCCGGTTGCTCAGTTTGGTCGGACGGGTAGTTCCATATTTTTTAAATTTCTCAATGCTAAAGAACACTGTGCTCTTGGAAACGTTCAACCCTCTAGAAATTGTTTTATACCCTTCCCCAGATATATGCCTCATTGCAGTTCTGTCTCTGAGATCTACGCACAGTTCCTTGGACTTCATGGCATAATTTCTGCTCTGACATGCACTGTCAACTGTGGGACCATATATAGACATGTGTTTCTTTCTAAATCATGTCCAAACATTTGAATTGGCCACAGGTGGACTCCAATCAAGTTGTAGTGACTTCTCAAGGATGATTAAAGGAAATTGGATGCCCCTGAGCTCAATTTGGAGTGGCATAGCAAAGGGGTGTGAATACCCTATGTAAATTAGATAATTCTGTATTTCATTTTCAATACATTTGGTTTAAAAATATTTAACATGTTTTCACTTTGTCATTATGGGGTATTGTGTGTGGTGGGTGACAGTAAAACATTCATTTTAATCTATTTTGAATTCAGGCTGTAACACAACAGAATGTGGGGAAAGGTCAAGGGGTATGAATAATTTCTGAAGGCACTGTATATGAACGTGCTTGGATAAAACAATAGCACACCATTTTATTTTATTTTTCCAACACTAGCATCTTTGTTGTTTGGTTTGTGATATCGTTGGTATCCATTCTGTCTCAGGCCCAGTCCAAACCAGTACACCCCCCACGGTTGTACAGAAACCTGCCCCAGCCACCCAGACAAGGGCACCCACTCCACAGGTACTAAAACATAATCTGCCTTCTGAAATAAATAAGATATTAGACCAACAATCAATTTATTGTAGTACTGGTCATAATAGTAGAGACAATATCTGTCTGTTTGCCGTCCTCTAGGCAGTGCTGAGTGTGAAGGCCCTGGAAAGGCAGCTGCAGCAGAGGAAGGACTCAGACCCAGTCATGGCCGGAATACTGGAGGAGGTAACAGATTAATCCAATAGTCTTTCTCTCAAACTACTGCTACTTAATTACTTTTGTATTTTATTATGAATGCAATTTATGATCATAACAAAAAACATTCAGTGTAGTTAACCCACAAAGGAATCGAACCCAGCACCATGCGCAAACCAACTTACACTAAATGGGTCTTGCTATAAATAATGGGGCCAATGTGTGACATTGGGATAAACATTTCAAAATGGTTTGAAACAAAAATAAAAATGATTTTTATGCAGTTCCACTTGTGTACTTAGAGGAATATAATATGCAAATTGGCCCATAATTCCACCTATACAACAACATAGGCCTAGGACTATACGTCCTTTAAGCAGGGTTCATACAGACATTGGTAGTCAAATTCATGGACTTTTAGGGACTTTTTCGATTTCTTAATTTACATTTTCAAGGACCTCAATGTTATACAATTGTATAATTCATATAATTGTACATATAGGGCCTAATATAGAACCCCCCCCCCCCCCCCCCCCGCCTTGACTAAATACACTGAACAAAAATATAAACGCAACATGCAACAATTTCAAAGATTTTACTAAGTTACAGTTCATATAAGGAAATCAGTCAATTGAAATAAATAAATTAGGCCCTAATCTATGGACTGGGAATATACAGTGCATTCGGAAAGTATTCAGACCCCTTCACTTCTTCCACATTTTGTTACGTTACAGCCTTATTCTAAAATTGATTAAATATATATATTTTTCCATCAATCTATACACAATACCCCATAATGACGAAGCAAAAACCGTTTTTTGAAATATTTGCAGATGAATAAAAAAACGGAAATATGACATTTACATAAGTATTCAGACCCTTTACTCAGTACTTTGTTGAAGCACCATTGGCAGCGATTACAGCACACCTATATTTGGGGAGTTTCACCCATTCTTCTCTGCAGATCCTCTCAAGCTCTGACAGGTTGGATGGGGAGCGTTGCTGCACAGCTCTTTTCAGGTCTCTCCAGAGATGTCCGATCGGGTTCAAGTCCGGGCTCTGGCTGGGCCACTCAAGGACATTCAGAGACTTGTCCCAAAGCCACTCCTGTGTTGTCTTGGCTGTGTACTTATGGTCATTGTCCTGTTGGAAGGTGAACCTTCGCCCCAGTCTGAGATCTCTCTGTACTTTGCTCTGTTCATCTTTCCCTCAACCCTGACTAGTCTCCCAGCCCCTGCCGCTGAAAAACATTGCCACAGCATGATGCTGCCACCACAATGTTTCACCGTAGGGATGGTGCCAGGTTTCCTCCAGAAGTGACGCTTGGCATTCAGGTCAAATAGTTCATTCTTGGTTTCATCAGACCAGAGAATCTTGTTTCTCATGGTCTGAGAGTCCTTCAGGTGCCTTTTGGCAAACTCCAAGCAGGCTGTCATTTTTTTTATTTATTTTTTTTATTTTTTATTTTCACCTTTATTTAACCAGGTAAGCCAGTTGAGAACAGGTTCTCATTTACAACTGCGACCTGGCCAAGATAAAGCAAAGCAGTGCAATAAAAACAACACAGAGTTACATATGGGGTAAAAAACATAAAGTCAAAAATACAACAGAAAATATATATTCAGTGTGTGCAAATGTAGCAAGTTATGGAGGTAAGGCAATAAATAGGCTATAGTGCAAAATAATTACAATAGTATTAACACTGGAATGCTAGATGTGCAAGAGATTATGTGCAAATAGAGATACTGGGGTGCAAAAGAGCAAAATAAATAACAATATAGGGATGAGGTAGTTGGGTGGGCTAATTTCAGATGGGCTGTGTACAGGTGCAGTGATCGGTAAGGTGCTCTGACAACTGATGCTTAAAGTTATTGAGGGAGATAAGAGTCTCCAGCTTCAGAGATTTTTGCAATTCGTTCCAGTCATTGGCAGCAGAGAACTGGAAGGAATGGCGGCCAAAGGAGGTGTTGGCTTTGGGAATGACCAGTGAGATATACCTGCTGGAGCGCAGACTACGGGTGGGTGCTGCTATGGTGACCAATGAGCTAAGATAAGGCGGGGATTTGCCTAGCAGCGATTTATAGATGGCCTGGAGCCAGTGGGTTTGACGACGAACATGTAGTGAGGACCAGCCAACAAGAGCGTACAGGTCACAGTGGTGGGTAGTGTATGGGGCTTTGGAGACAAAACGGATGGCACTGTGATAGACTACATCCAATTTGCTGAGTAGAGTGTTGGAGGCTATTTTGTAAATGACATCGCCGAAGTCAAGGATCGGTAGGATAGTCAGTTTTACGAGGGCATGTTTGGCAGCATGAGTGAAGGAGGCTTTGTTGCGAAATAGGAAACCGATTCTAGATTTCACTTTGGATTGGAGATTCTTAATGTGAGTCTGGAAGGAGAGTTTACAGTCTAACCAGACACCTAGATATTTGTAGTTGTCCACATACTCTAGGTCAGACCCGTCGAGAGTGGTGATTCTAGTCGGGTGGGCGGGTGCCAGCAGCGTTCGATTGAAAAGCATGCATTTAGTTTTACTAGTGTTTAAGAGCAGTTGGAGGCTACTGAAGGAGTGTTGTATGGCATTGAAGCTCGTTTGGAGGTTTGTTAACACAGTGTCCAATGAAGGGCCAGATGTATACAAAATGGTGTCGTCTGCGTAGAGGTGGATCTGAGAGTCACCAGCAGCAAGAGCGACATCATTGATATACACGGAGAAAAGTGTCGGCCCAAGAATTGAACCCTGTGGCACCCCCATAGAGACTGCCATAGGTCCAGACAACAGGCCCTCCGATTTGACACACTGAACTCTATCTGAGAAGTAGTTGGTGAACCAGGCGAGGCAGTCATTTGAGAAACCAAGGCTATTTAGTCTGCCAATAAGAATGCGGTGGTTGACAGAGTCGAAAGCCTTGGCCAGGTCGATGAAGACGGCTGCATAGTACTGTCTATTATCAATCGCGGTTATAATATCGTTTAGGACCTTGAGCGTGGCTGAAGTGCACCCATGACCAGCTCGGAAACCGGATTGCATAGCGGAGAAGGTACGGTGGTATTCGAAATGGTCGGTGATCTGTTTGTTAACTTGGCTTTCAAATACCTTCGAAAGGCAGGGCAGGATGGATATAGGTCTGTAGCAGTTTGGATCTAGAGTGTCACCCCCTTTGAAGAGGTGGATGACCGCGGCAGCTTTCCAATCTCTGGGGATCTCAGACGTTATGAAAGAGAGGTTGAACAGACTAGTAATAGGGGTTGCGACAATTTCGGCGGCTAGTTTTAGAAAGAAAGGGTCCAGATTGTCTAGCCCAGCTGATTTGTAGGGGTCCAGATTTTGCAGCGCTTTCAAAACATCAGCTGTCTGAATTTGTGTGAAGGAGAAGCGGGGGGGGGCATGGGCAAGTTGCAGCAGAGGGTGCAGAGTTTGTGGCCGGGGTAGTGGTAGCCAGATGGAAAGCATGGCCAGCTGTAGCAAAATGCTTGTTGAAATTCTCGATTATTGTAGATTTATCGGTGGTGATAGTGTTTCCTAGCCTCAGTGCAGTGGGCAGCTGGGAGGAAGTGCTCTTATTCTCCATGGACTTTACAGTGTCCCAAAACTTAATTTTGTGTGCCTTTTACTGTTCTGTTTGGCCACTCTACCATAAAGGCCTGATTGGTGGAGTGCTGCAGATATGGTTGTCCTTCTGGAAGGTTCTCCCATCTCCACAGAGGAACTCTGGAGCTCTGTCAGAGTGACCATCAGGTTCTTGGTCACCTCCCTGAGCAAGGCCCTTCTCCCCTGATTGCTCAGTTTGGCTGGGCGGCCAGCTCTAGGAAGAGTCTTGGTGGTTCCAAACGTCTTCTATTTAAGAATGATGGGAGCCACTGTGTTCTTGGGGACCTTCAATGCTGCAGAAATGTTTTGGTACCCTTCTCCAGATATGTGCCTCGACACAATCCTGTCGCGGAGCTCTATGGACAATTCCTTTGACCTCATGGCTTGGTTTTTGCTCTGATATGCGCTGTCAACTGTGGGACCATAGCAAAGGTTCTGAATACTTATGTTAATAAGGTATTTGTTCATTTTTTATAAATTTGCAAAAATGTCTCAACCTGTTTTCACTTTGTCATTATGGGGTATTGTGTGTAGATTGAGGATTTTTTATTTATTTAATCCATTTTAGAATAAGGCTGTAATGTAACAAAATGTGGAAAAAAGGAAGAGTTCTGAATACTGTCCGACTGCACTGTAGATATGCATCTGTTGGTCAAAGACACCTTAAAAAAAAAAAAAGTAGGGGCGTGGATCAGAAAACCAGTCAATATCAGGTGTGACCACCATTTGCTTCATGCAGCGCGATACATCTTCTAATAGAGTTTATTTGCCGGTTGATTGTGCCCTGTGGAATGTTGTCCAACTCCTCTTCAATGGCTGTACTAAGTTGCTGGATATTGTCGGGAACTGGAACACGTTGTCGTACACGTCGATCCAGAGCATCCCAAACATAGGAGGACGCATATGAGCTTCCCTGAGATGGTCTCTGACAGTTTGTGCAGAAATTCTTCGGTTGTGCAAACCCACAGTTTCATCAGTTGTCCGGGTGGCTGGTCTCAGACGATCCCGCAGGTGAAGAAGCTAGATGTGTAATCAGCTTCTTGATATGCCACACCTGTCAGGTGGATGGATTATCTTGGCAAATTAGAAATGGTGACTAACAGGAATGTAAACAAATTTGTGTAAATATTTGGAAATAAATAAACTTTTTGTGCGTATGGAAGATTTCTGGGATCTTTTATTTCAGCTAATGAAAAATGGAAGCAACGCTATACAGTTGAAGTCTGAAGTTTACATACACCTTAGCCAAATACATTTAAACTCAGTTTTTCACAATTCCTGACATTTAATCCTAGTAAAAAAAAAACTGTTTTAGGTCAGTTAGGATCACCACTTTATTTTAAGAATGTGAAATGTCAGAATAATAGTAGAGTGATTTATTTCAGCTTTTATTTCTTTCATCACATTCCCAGTGGGTCAGAAGTTTACATGCACTCAATTAGTATTTGGTAGAATTGCCTTTAAATTGTTTAACTTGGGTCAAACGTTTCGGGTAGCCTTCCACAAGCTTCACACATTTAGTTGGGTGAATTTTGACCCATTTCTCCTGACAGAGCTGGTGTAACTGAGTCAGGTTTGTAGGCCTCCTTGCTCGCACACATTCTGCCCACACATTTTCTATAGGATTGCGGTCAGGGCTTTGTGATGGCCACTCCAATACCTTGACTTTGTTGTCCTTAAAGCATTTTGCCGCAACTTTGGAAGTATGCTTGGGGTCATTGTCCATTTGGAAGACCCATTTGCGACCAAGCTTTAACTTTCTGACTGATGTCTTGAGATGTTGCTTCAATATATCCACATCATTTTCCTTCCTCATGATGCCATCTATTTTGTGAAGTGCACCAGTCCCTCCTGCAGCAAAGAACTCCCACAGCATGATGCTGCCACCCCCGTGCTTCACGGTTGGGATTGTGTTCTTCGGCTTGCAAGCCACCCCCCTTTTCCTCCAAACATAACGATGGTCATTATGGCCAAACATTTCTATTTTTGGTTCATCAGACCAGAGGACATTTCTCCAAAAAGTACGATATTTGTCCCCATGTGCAGTTGCAAACCGTGGTCTGGCTTTTTTATGGTGGTTTTGGAGCAGTGGCTTCTTCCTTGCTGAGCGGCCTTTCAGGTTATGTCGATATAGGACTTGTTTTACTGTGGATATAGATACTTTTGTACCTGTTTCCTCCAGCATCTTTACAAGGTCATTTGCTGTTTTACTGGGATTGATGTGCACTTTTCGCACCAAGTACGTTCATCTCTAGGAGACAGAACGCGTCTCCTTCCTGAGCGGTATGACAGCTGCGTGGTCCTATGGTGTTTATACTTGCATACTATTGTTTGTACAGATGAATGTGGTACCTTCAGGCGTCTGGAAATTGCTCCCAAGGATGAACCAGACTTGTGGAGGTCTACAATTTTTTTTCTGAGGTCTTGGCTGATTTCTTTTGATTTTCCCATGATGTCAACCAAAGAGGCACTGAGGTTGAAGGTAGGCCTTGAAATACATCTACAGGTACACCTCCAATTCACTCAAATGATGTCAATTAGCCTATCAGAAGCTTCTAAAGCCATGACATCATTTTCTGGAATTTTCCAAGCTGTTCAAAGGCACAGTCAATTTAGTGTATGTAAACGTCTGACCCACTGGAATTGTGATACAGTGAAATAATCTGTCTGTAAACAATTGTTGGAAAAACTACTTGTGTCATGCACAAAGTCGATGTCCTGTCCGACTTGCCAAAACTATAGTTTGCTAACAAGAAATGTGTGTTGTGGTTGAAAAACAAGTTTTAATGACTCCAACCTAAGTGTATGTAAACTTCCGACTTCAACTGTACATGTTGCGTTTTTATATTTTAGTTCAGTGTAAATTGGATGCATGCCGATTTTTCTGTATCTTATGTGTCCGACACAGGCTCACATAATAAAGCCATGAATAGTCGTAGCTTGAATCTCACCATTGCTGTTTTTATCATGAGAAAGCAACCAAAAAACAGGTCCCTTTTTATAATGGAAGGATTTGTATGGAAAGCCAAGTTGAAGCCAGCATTAGATGTTGTCGTCCTCATAATAACCGCACATGGTTTTACTGCAACAGAGTAGCGCAAAAGCCTTCAATTGAAGTGGCGTGAAACAAACGAAAGTGGCCACATCTCTCACAAAAACTGATCAAAAATTAAAGTAAGGATAATTATAACGGAGCAGGAGAATTTATACATTGGCTACAGTAATTACAATGACTTTTCAATCACCAATCTGAGGAAATGCCTGATTTTCAAGCAAGCCTATACCAGTACTTGAATTTCTGAGATCCAAATTCAAGTAGGCTAATTCAAGCACCTTGTATTGTTTTTAAAATTACAGGTGTAACATGGAAACCAAAATGTATTTCATGTTATTTCATTAACAGATCATATTGTGAATAAACCCACTAGGCTATGTAATTTGTTGTCTTTATATCCAGAATAATTAAGCGTTGTGTGTTGCGCACTAGTCTATCCTACACAATTGCGCACAGTACAGTCGTGGTCAAAAGTTTTGAGGATGACACAGGTATTGGTCTTCACAGAGTTAGCTGCTTTAGTGTTTTTAGATATATTTGTCAGATGTTACTATGGTATACTGATGTATAATTACAAGCATTCCATAAATGTCAAAGGATTTTATTGACAATTACATTAAGTTTATGCAAAGAGTCAATATTTGCATTGTTGACCCTTCTTTTTCAAGACCGCTGCAATCCGCCCTGGCATGCTGTCAATTAACTTCTGGGCCACATCCTGACTGATGGCAGCCCATTCTTGCATAATCAATGCTTGGAGTTTGTCAGAATTTGTGGGTTTTTGTTTGTCCACCCGTCTCTTGAGGATTGACCACAAGTTCTCAATGGGATTAAGGTCTGGGGAGTTTCCTGGCCATGGACCCAAAATGTCGATGTTCTGTTCCCCGAGCCACTTAGTTATCACTTTTGCCTTATGGCAAGGTGCTCCATCATGCTGGAAAAGGCATTGTTCATCACCAAACTGTTTTTGGATGGTTGGGAGAAGTTGCTCTCGGAGGATGTGTTGGTACCATTCTTTATTCATGGCTGTGTTCTTAGGCTAAACTGTGAGTGAGCCCACTCCCTTGGCTTAGAAGCAACCCCACACATGAATGGTCTCAGGATGCTTTACTGTTGGCATGACACAGGACTGATGGTAGCGCTCACCTTGTCTTTTCCGGACAATATTTTTTCTGGATGCCCCAAACAATCGGAAAGGGGATTCATCAGAGTAAATGACTTTACCCCAGTCCTCAGCAGTCCAATCCTTGTACCTTTTTCAGAATATCAGTCTGTCCCTGATGTTTTTCCTGGAGAGAAGTGGCTTCCTTGCTGCCCTTCTTGACACCAGGCCATCCTCAAAGTCTTTGCCTCACTGTGCGTGCAGATGCACTCACACCTGCCTGCTGCCATTCCTGAGCCAGCTCTGCACTGGTGCTGCCCCGATCCCGCAGCTGAATCAACTTTAGGAGACGGTCCTGGCGCTTGCTGGACTTTCTTGGGCGCCCTGACGCCTTCTTCACAACAATTGAACCTCTCTCCTTGAAGTTCTTGATGATCTGATAAATAGTTGATTTAGGTGCAATCTTACTAGCAGCAATATCCTTGCCTGTGAAGCCCTTTTTGTGCAAAGCAATGATGACGGCACGTGTTTCCTTGCAGGTAACCATGGTTAACAGAGGAAGAACAATGATTTCAAGCACCACCCTCCTTTTAAAGCTTCCAGTCTGTTATTCTAACTCAATCAGCATGACAGATTGATCTCCAGCCTTGTCCTCGTCAACACTCTCACCTGTGTTAATGAGAGAATCACTGACATGATGGCAGCTGGTGCTTTTGTGGCAGGGCTGAAATGCAGTGGAAATGTTTTTTGGGGATTAAGTTCATTTTCATGGCAGAGAGGGACTTTGCAATTAATTGCAATTCATCTGATCACTCTTCATAACATTCTGGAGTATATGCAAATTGCCATCATAAAAACTGAGGCAGCAGACTTTGTGAAAATTAATATTTGTGTCATTCTCAAAACTTTTGACCACGACTGTAGACTGTGTCCATTCCAAGGCACAAAAACACATGAAAACATGAACTCATTACCTTAATGCTTTCTCTGTTAAGTCTAACGAGACCCTGCTGTAAATAAAGCAGACAACAACAGATGCTCAAAATCAATTCGCTAGGGATATTAGATCCAACGTGGATCCAGGCACAACAGTGTAATGAATGAGACACCAAAATAGTCTGGACATTCCTCTCTAACACCTTTTTTCCAGTACTTTGGCTGTTGCATTGCATGCGCTGTCACAACAGCTGTTCGTCACTTGACTATCATTAAGAAAATTCCTTCCTGGATAAGATGATGATGTGTGAAAATAGCTCAACCGAATGCGCATCCAACAAGTAGTATGCATAATTATTGAAGAACCATGTTCATGACAGTATTGATTTAGGTTTTAAGTATGAAGGTAAGGTGACTCCCGTTTAGAACCATTCGATTTTGCAGTTGCATAAAGTTCAATGTCTAATTTAACTGATTAATGCTTAATATAGGATAAACGACAACTTACACTGCCGTAATTGCAAGGACCGAAAAGTAATGTTTTATGTCACACGATTTTAGACAAATCCGTCAAGACACCAAACATGAGAAAGAGTTAAACATAGGTTTTCAATCAACTCGCGAATGTTATTGAATTATATCTTTAATGTAATGAATTTTTTTTTTAATGGCAGATTATCAACAGCTGTAACAAGTTGTCCAGTGCAGGAAATCCTCACTGGTGCCCTAGTTTATAGAAAGACCTTTATGGTTCATCATGGTAGCTTCATGCTGGTTGTGTTCCTCTCAGATTGCCCACTTTCAGAAGGAGTTGGATGACCTGAAGGCACGTAGCAACAAGGCAGACTTCAGAGTGGGCACCACAGGGGAGATGAGGGAGCTGAGGAAGGAGTCTGAGGACCTCCACGTCTTCACCCTGGAGATCAAAGACACCACTGAGGTACAGTACGGACTTAATTTCATTTGATTAGGTGTTATTATTTCAGAGAAGGCCAGCATGAATATGAATATGAAGCTCTGTGTAGTTGCCATTGTTAATTCATGTACCCAGTTGTCAAATTCAAAGTAAGAAAGTAATCCGTTGCTTTCATGTGGCCCATGAACTCACACCCCTTGGTTTTGCCAGCTTTATGACAACAAAATTAGCCATCTCAACTACAGTACAACCACCTAGACCTCATAGGCTCTTACCATGTGTATGTGTGCTTGTTCTCCCCAGTCTCTCCATGTGGACATCAGCACTCTGAAGACCACCATGTTGGAGGGCTTTGCCGGGGCAGAGGACGCCAAAGCCCAGAGTGAGCTCAACAGAGACCGGGGCTACCTGCAGCTGCTCTTCAAGAAACCACTAGACCCACGCAGTGAAGACCAACTCAAGGTAAGCCTCTGGATAGATAAGGGATGGATGGTTGGATGTGTCAGAGGAAGGCCCTCAAAATTGTCAAAGACTCCAGCCACCCTAGTCATAGACTGTTCTCTCTGCTACCGCACGGCAAGCGGTACCGGAGTGCCAAGTCTAGGTCCAAAAGACTTCTCAACAGCTTCTACCCCCAAGCCATAAGACTCCTGAACAGCTAATCATGGCTACCCGGAATATTTGCACTGCCCCCCCACCCTTTTTACGCTGCTGCTACTCTGTTAAGTATTTATGCATAGTCACTTTAACTCTACCCACATGTACATATTACCTCAACTACCTCAACTAGCCGGTGCCCCCGCACATTGACTATGCAACGGTACCCCCCTGTATATATAGCCTCCCTACTGTCACTTTATTTTACTGTATATATAGCCTCCCTACTGTCACTTTATTTTACTTCTGCTCTTTTTTTTCTCAACACTTTTTTGTTGTTGTTTTATTCTTACTTTTTTTGTTTAAAATAAATGCACTGTTGGTTAAGGGCTGTAAGTAAGCATTTCACTGTAATGTCTGCACCTGTTGTATTCGGCGCATGTGACCAATAAAATTTGATTTGATTTTGATTTGATATGGAACTTCTATCATTCCTCAGGTTGGATGTGGTAGAAATGGCAATAGCAGAACACTATTGAAAAAAAATATCACAGTACAGAATACTTTTTGTTAGACAGTCATTTCCTTTGGGGTTTTCTCCCCATAACCAGGAGATCCGCAGGCTGTACCAGTATGTAAAGTTTGCTGTGGAGGATGTGAGCGACGTGTTGGACCTGGAGTGGGAGAAACATCTGGAGAAGAAGAAGAAACAGAAGTGAGGGAGAATTCTCTTTTACTTCCTATGTTAATTTCCAATTGTCATTGTATGTTTCCTTTCTAACCAGTTCCCTCTGTGGTACTCCTCTGTCTCTCCCAGACACATGATTGTCCCAGAGAGGGAGGCTCTGTTCACAGCCCTGGCCAACAACCTGGACATCATCAACCAGCAGAAACAGAGGCTGGACACAATGGTCAAAGACCTCCATGCCCTGCGCCTCTACAACAAGACTGCAGCCTGGAGCACTCCTGCCCCCAGCCAGCCTGCTGTTACCACCCCCACTGAACAGGGGTATGTACAAAGGTGTATACCTGAAATACAATGGCCATATGTTGCAGCATGAGGATGTGTTTAGAGTCCGTTTGTTTTTTTATGTCAACATTTTCACTGGGGCATGTGTGTGTTGCAAAGAATTAAGTGTAGTGGTTTAGAAATCAATGATCACATGAATTACCTCTGTGTTTACTAGTTTGGACAATGAGCTGGAGAGTTTGAGGGATGCACTCCTGAAAGCCAGTCTGGAGACCATTCCCAAGAGCACCTCGAAATCTACAGGCAAAATACTTACATTTTCCAACACGTGTCTCACTGTGTTAACTATTGTGCTTGAGTGATGTAAATGTAATATGACTCCTTCAACTTCTGCAGCCAAGATGTCTCCAGTGAAGCAGTCTCAGCTGCGTAACTTCCTCTCCAAGAGGCAGACACCACCAGTCCGCTCCACCGCTCCAGGTATTCCCAACACCAACACACAAATCACAGTGACCAGTGCTGAGCAGTGAGGTATAAGTAATGTGTGGAGTTTACCCCTCCTGAATGTCATCCATCTTTTCCCCCAGCCAACCTGTCCCGCTCGGCCTTCCTCTCTCCCAAATACTACGAGGACTTGGACGATGTGAGCTCCACCTCCTCCCTGTCTCAGGCCCTGGACCCCGACTACTCCCACTATTTTGCAGAGGAAGAGCCCGAGCCTGCCCCCCTCCCCGTGCTCCCCACCTCTATGCCCCGCCACCACACGGTGGTACGCACCCCCTCCATAGCCCCAGGGTTTGGGGCCATCCAGTCCACTCCCTTCAGCAAGGTGCACCAGGGCCTTGGCCTCAGCCCCATCATGAGCCCAGGTAGGAAACTATTGAGTTTATTTTACCTTTATTTAACCAGGTTGGTCAGAGAACAACAGGTAATACAACTTTGCTGTTGTGTAGTAGTATGTCGTTTTTATTGTATGTTTTATCCTCTAGTATCAACCATCAGGACAGAGAGAGCCATATGGCAAAGTGCTGTACTATGTGGTGTTAAGAGAGCTAGTCTGTAGTACAGTAAATTCTTCTCTAGTTCCAACCGATAAGATCAACATGGGAGGTGCCGACAGCACGGCACTAGCCACTAAGACGGTGAAGCACGGAGCCCCGCCTACTGAGAAGCCCACACCGGTTCCCCTTCCTGCCCAACAGGCTGCTGCTAAAGCCGCTTTCCTCAGGCAAATGGCCAATCAGAAAACAGGTAGGTGGGGCATGGCCTCAGAGGTTGCAATTAATGGGAAATATATTGTTTTTCTGTCACTGTAACAACATACAACGTTGCCTTGAGACCTAGTATAAAATCTATTGACGTCTTTCATTTTCTGCTCTGCAAAGGACATGGGTTGAGGGATCTGTTTCTGTGTTGTGTGACCATGTTAGGCTATGTTACCTTAGCAGTATAACTTTCTAGTTTTAAAAATGAACAAGCTAGGAAGAAACTTTCATTGTTAATCTCACTACATTTAAAACAGTTTGAAAACACTCATATTAAGAGACGGGTAGAGCTTCTATTCTGCTCACTGTCTGTTGACATTGATATTTACTTTTCAAAGTGATGTTTAGACTCCAGGGGGAGACAAAGACCTCAGGATCAGAGGTGAACTGACAGCCTCGTGACTTTTCTATGCTGAATGATGGTTGACAATAGTTTAATCAATAAATTCAATTATTACATTCAATTATTTAAACAGTACTTTTAAACAATTGAGACTATTCATCTGAAAATAGTATGCATCAGTCTGTTGGTAACCCAAAATAACATGACCGGTTTAATTTGAATTGATTTTGAATTCACTTGTTATATTGGGGAACGAAAAAGTTAGATAATTTTTACACACAGAAGTGACAAAATAGGTGCATCTGGTTGTCCCGATGTCAGTTTTAATGACAAATTGTCATTGACGTTTCTTCTCTGTGGTCAACCAGCAGTCAGTGGCTCTCTGACAGAGTCCACCCTGAAGACTGTTCCCCATGTGGTCAACGTTCAGGAGCTCAATGACAAAGGACCGCCCCCGCCTGTCTCCACTGTGATCAGGTAATCCATCATCATCATCAATATTACCATCCCTCTTCATCAGGGCATCACCTGGGGTCTACGTTCAAGAATGCTAGGCACCTTTTCTGATTACAATTCCCAAAACGTAATATTTGTAAGTAGAAAGGACATTTAAATTAAACCAAATATTATGTAGATAAGAAATGTGTAGACAGTGAATACATTTGTTGTCCATCAAAATGGACTGTCATTACGAACGGGCTGAGTGGTTCTAATCTAATATCACTACAATCTATCTAATATCACTACAATATTACAATAGTTGGCTGATTCCAATCTGACCATTACTGTACAAATAACCTACAGTCCACATAAATACTGTACACAGCAGCTTTCTTGTTTGTTTTTGTTTGTCTAATTTAAAAACGTCTGCTGCAGTGTTAGGGTCTGCTGACAGTGCTGTGGCCCTCAGGGTCTGCCACAGTGACTGTGTCTCTTAAAAAAAAAGAAGTAAACTCACAGAAATACAAAGTCCCTCTTTGTAGTCTAATAAGCGTAACGTGTATATACTGTATTTGAGTTTGAACCATGCAGGGTCTTCTGATGGCCCAGGCTTTAAAATGAGATTACGCTGAAGGCCAGATTACTCTATGGTGCATGGAGGGAGAGCGGGGTGAACGCTATTTCAGCTTGGCGAGGCACATTTACAATGACTCGCTGATGCATAAAGATACAGCCACACACAAATAAGGTCAATGGAAAGAACAGGGTGAGCGGGTGTGCTGTACACAGTGACCGTACACACGATTTACTGCAATCACAGTACTAGACTGGTGCTGCATGGAGGGGCTATGTGTGTGTGTGGGGGATGGGCACACACGTGGGCAATGGACCATGTTATAAAATGTGTGTGTGTGTGGGAGTTAGTGTGTTTGAATGAGTTTACGTCCTGGGGGACAAGGGCCCACTTCAGCACTAGCCTATGCTATTTGTGTGTGTGTGTGTGTGTGTGTGTGTGGGGCGCATACGTCGGTGTACAGTATGTATGGTTCCCAACGATGCAGAGAGAAATATTTAAAAAAATTATAACACAAGGGAAAAAATACACAATAAGTAACGATAACTTGGTTATATACACGGGGTACCAGTACTGAGTCGATGTGCAGGGATACGAAGTAATTGAGGTAGATATGTACATATACTGTAGGTAGGAATAAAGTTACTAGGCAACAGGCTAGATAATAAACAGTAACAGCAGTGTTAGTGCAAAAACGGTCAATGCAGATAGTCCGGGTAGCTATTTGGTTAACTATTTGACTAACTATGTAGCACTAAATAGTCACTGCCATTGCTGATAAAAGTGCTGTTGATGACAGCTGTGCATGTCATGTGTCAATACCAGTGACTGAAGGGCACCAGGTTGGACAGATGTTGGCAGCAGGTACAGGCTTGTATCCCTGTTCCCATAAAGTGACAGAGGGAGAATCACCATCCCCAATGTCACAGCACAGGCAGACTGGAGGGAGAGGGGACCTTTAATTGGTACCGTCAGCAGTTTCTGTTTTTGTAATAAAGTTTATTGGGGGAAGGGGAAAAGGAAAGTGCATTTTATGCTTAAGTGCAGATAAGAAATAAACGCACATGTTCTACTCTTTGTAGATAATATCTGGTATTTGGGAATTAAATTGTTTGACTGCACTAAATGTCAGTTTATTCAGAGTACCTTCTTGCTTACAAATAGAGTTTTGGATAGTTGTTAGTCTTACATTTGAGTGTGAAATGCACATTACCCATCATCCTTATCTAGGGAGATCATCTTTTTCTCTTAGTCTCACCCTGGTCCCTTATTTTTCACCATGGCATCACACTAAATCACCCATAGCTAATAGTCACCCATAGCAAACGGTCTGATTACTTCTCAGAAGAGTTATATGCAGGAACAGCCATTTACTAATCCCATATACCCAGCCTTGCCTGTCCTCACTGCAGTAGTGTTGTCATGCCCCAGCCATGGTGTGTAACTGGGGACACAGTATAGATTATCAGAGGCACTGCTGCTGCTGCCAGCCAGATGCCAAGAGCCACTGTGACCTTTCAGTTGGAGTGCCAACTGCCAACATCCGGACGGAGAATTGGATTTGGTGTATGGGGGAAAACACAGCCGCAGCAGTATAGGGTTTTCTCTCACACAACCTCTCTCTCTCCTCTGTCTTCTCTGTCCTCCGCTCTCCCATTCCTTACCTGTCTCTCTCGCTCTCGTTACATCTGTCATCTCATGCCCTTTTACACACACACACAACATGACTTACTTAAACATGCCAGTCATGGTCTTTTGAGCAGAACACCTCAAAGCATACAGCCATCTGTAGCATCCTTCCCTATCCTTCCTATTAAGATTTACTTCAATTAATTCATTTCATTTTTTCCGTGGGTGGTCTTTTAATTTCACACTTCAGTGGCTGTGTGATAGAGTTATCGTGTGTTAGCAGCAGGAACATTGCACTGGAGTGGGTGGTCACTGGTGCCTAGCCTGGATGGCAGTTATAAAGCCGGCTGAGTTGTAAACCTAGGCTGATACATGGTAGTGCTAGTAAATGTGTCTGTTGGTGCCAGGTTACTCTGTGTGTGTGTGTGTGTGTGCGCGTGTACGTACGTACGTGTGTGTGTGTGTGTGTGTGTGTGTGTTTGACCTCTAGTACCTAGGAAACAGCAGGCAACAGCAGAGCTCTCTCCCATCTCTCTGAGTTAATGCATGGGTAAGGCCTGCAACTTTGATGGAGAGACACTGAATAATTGACAGTGTGTGTGTGTGGCTGACCCAAGGCGGTAGGTCTACACTGCACAGGGGGAGTGGTCAACACACAGGTGCCGTTCACCAAACTGACATGTTTGTAACTATGGAAACGTTGTAGCACAGAAAAACCTTGGCCCTGTTCAGAAACAACTCCTAGCCCCCGCATGTGCAGATCTGAAAGAATAAGATGGGTATAAGCAAAATGGAGGAAGTTCCAATAAAACCAATTGAAATGTTTGGTGGATCCATCAACATTTCACTTACACCTTTCCAATTCCTGCAATGTGTGGAGCTCTGTTGTGTCTGGTGTTTGAGTAGTTCTAAAAAGTATACCTTGCTTCACTGTTTGTTGACTAGTACTACTATAATGTAGGCTACTACAGTTCCTGCACGGTACTGGCTGATAGGGAGAACCTGCACTACCTTTATCTCCCTGGAGGGGGCCCTGTTGTCAATGGGATTTCAATGGTCGTTCTTGGCCTGACTTGGGCATGCTTTAGTAAGTGCGGGCTCAAGATGACAGCATTGGTACCTCACAGTTCAAACTCATCAACATCTGATTAAACCTGTCAGAGGATCAGCCGTTACTTTACACTACACATCCTCCTCTGTCTGCTAACTCACTGGCCTTAGCGGCTTACATCTATAGCGGATGATCTAGGATCTGTAGCGCTTCCCATTAGCCTTTTGATCACCTCTTATCTATCAAGCCTGTTCAGTGTGCCTGTTTCTTGTTTTATTTAGTGCTTAGGCCGTTTCTTCCACACACACATTCCAATTGTGTGTGTGTGTATTGATCGATGCGGGCTGCCCAGGGCCCCACGGTGATGTGGTGCTCATACTGATGCAGCACTGAGACGGCCGTGAGGAGAGTTGCTGATGTGATCATCCCCAGCTCTGCCACCCCCTCAACCCGAACTAGCCATTCTCTCTCACACACACATACACACACACAACAAGGCCCACCAGACACACACCCACATTGAAAGAACCACTAAACACACACTTAACCCAAATATTATGCATCTATACACATACATACTCAGCACCACTACCTACCTCATATGAAACACACACTCACTTTACCAAACACACACCTTAGTCTCCACTAGAGAGAAGATACGCTATGTCCCAGGCTTATGTACAGCAGTTCTCTGATGTGGAGTCATAGCTTATTGGAGGTGAGTCCATCGCAAGAGACGAGAGCCATCAGCCCTGGTTTGTGTATGTGGGCCTCAGCCGAGAGAAATAGACTCCAGCTAGATGGCTTTATCAGGTCACTGCCTCCATCGCATCTGATTCACTGCCGGCAGAGGCTAGCAATCTGAGTGCATCTCTCCATCTCTGTCTCGCCATCCCCCACAGCACTCACTGCCCCAATCTCCCTCTCTTTTATCACCCCTCTCTTGTTTTTCTCTCTCACAAACAGCTCCCTCTCTGTCCTGTCTCCCTCCCTCCTCATCTTTAGTTCTCCCATGCCTCTCTCCCAATCGGTCACTGTCTGCCATGCTTTTTTTCCTTCTCTCTCTCTGCCCTCTCCCAATATCTTTGCCTCCCTATCTCACCATCTCTCGTTCTCTAACCCTCTGCCCTATCCCCCGCTCTCCCCCTGTGTCTCTGAGATGATGTAGTTGATAGTCCTCCCTCTCCTCTCTTACTCTCTGCTTGGCCTCGCTCCACTATTGTGATGCGGTTGAATATTTTGGCAGGACTCTCCCTGGGGCCATTTTCCAAATTAGTCCTGCTCACAATAACGAGTCCACCACAGCCAGACAGTCTGATAGGGGGCTTATTTTAGAGATGTGCTCCCCAGCCAGTCAGTCACTCAGACACAACACTGGGCCTGTATTGTGTCCATCCACGCCAGTATGGTTTTGGTTCAGTTGTCTATAGTCTGTCTATGGCGTTTTGTTTTCGGTGTTCTATTCACTACTGTAGGTATTGTGCATGGCCCTGGCTTATGTCTGGGATGAGACTACCCTTGGATTATGCAGCGTGTTTGCAGATGGGCCAGTAAATTATAGGCTGATGCAAAGCGCTGATGCACACACTCACACACCACAATTAATCACCTGTAGTGTGAATGGCTATCACCCCTCAGTTGTAAATATATGCCTGTCTCCTCATCACTGACTTGCATTCATTAACTTTCGGAAAGCAATTCCTGATGAGATGGAGTGGAGGAGATGATGAATTAGGCTATATTTGAAATGTGATGTATGGTTTGAATCTAACTCGTTGCGCACAGTTATTTTATTTCCCTTTTCTCTTTCTCCCTCTCTCAGCTCCTCAGTCCCAGCCCCGGTCGGTCAGGTTGTTCAGCAGGTTTTGGCTACAGTGGCCAACACCAACCAGGCCAAACGAGTGAGTATCAGCAGCCCCATCTGGCATCCTCCCAACTGTCCTATGAACTGCATCACGCTCCATACCTTTAAGCCAGCTGTCTGGGGATTACTAGCCAGAGGCCTCATTTTTCCCTGCGCTAAGAAAGTCAAGTTAAAACGTCACCAACTTGCAGTCGGATCCAACTGAACACGTGTGCAAGAGTTATTCAGCTACAACCGGAGTCAAATGGAAGTTCAATAGAAAGTTGTTTATTCATAAATACTAAGGCGTTTCATCTGTGCGCTATCATTGGCTGAATATCTCTCCTACACCCCATCTCTAAGAACGCAGCAACTCTGTGTAGTTCCTGGAGTTCCAGTGTAGTTGGCTGACCGCTGGGCTGCGTTGTTATGGGTTAGAGTGCACAGGGCTGTGAAATGCCCCAGGTTCCTCCCATGTCCCAGCAGGGGAGTGATACAAGTGGCGACTGGGTGGGAACTGATTCATACAGGGGAACTCTCACACACATCACACCCCAGTCCGAACCAGGTTCAAGTTTATGGGATGACCCAAGCACTCATGACACATAGCCTACACACACCGATACACTCACAGAAAAAACACAGAATATATTAACACTAAAACACTGTTTTGTGATAAACAGAATCCAAAGTCTGAGTAGTGAGATTAACTAAATTACATTTTGCTTTGACTTATGATAAACATGAATGTTGATTTTTGGGTTCTCTAAAACAACATGGATTTTTCGTTTTTTGGGGGGTGTTTTTCGCCTTATCTTCACCCTCTTACTTTGTTAGTAGTTATTTTTTAAGCCTTGGCAAAGAGAGACGTTTAAACTGTCCTTCTGTTGTTTTTCTTCTCAGAATTCTACTCAAGGCGTACTGAAGGTGTCCGCTGAGAGTGTCCGCTCAGCTTCCCCCCAGGGTTTTGTGTTTGGTAAGTACACACTGTAAAGATTAGATGTTTTAGATGCTCATCACATCAAAACACGCTGGAAAACACCTTCCACCTAGAGTTGATGTATTTTTCCCAGGGTTTTTAAATACTAGAAATGTACAAATTATCTGGGTGAACCATTCATACATTACATCCATTTGATTAGCTCTTAGTATAAAAAGGTGTATTAGAACCCAATTATCATGCTTCATTTAATGCCATCTCCTCCTCTCCCTCTCTATCCCAGGCGGACCCTCTAAAGCTGATGCCCCAGTCTCCCTGGCCCTCTCCAGCTCAGCCCCGTCACTGGGGGAGCAGAGCAGCAAAGCCTTCTCCTTCACCACAGCGTGAGTCTCTGTAGTCAGGGGTCAAAGAGGGAAACTTCATATCAGACCTTGACTAGAAAACAGGGAAGTTGAATAAAAGAAATAGACCAATGGCTGACTGTGTTTTCTCATACTATATGATGCTTTTGGACAGGTCTGCCGGGGGCTTCAGTTTCTGCTCTGTGTCCCAAGGAGCTCCACCAGGTACCTCTCTCGCTCATGTACAGCCATATATGCCACACATCATTTTTATTCGACAGTAATGTCCGTGCTATAGTTAGTTGAATGCTATATCAATGAAGTAATTATTAGTATATCCATTAGTCAAAAGCGTTTTAATGTCTGGCGTAGTTTGTAAAGCTGCTGTCCATTTCTCTCCCCAGTAAAGGACGTGAGTAAATTCTCCTTCAGCAGCACTGGCAAGATGATGTTCGGCTCCTCTGCCGGGGAGGAACCCTTCTCCTTCACCCCCAAATCCACCTCCCCCGCCCTGGGGGCCAACGGCTCCCCCACCCCTCTTCCCAGCATGTCAGGCGAGCCTGTGAGGCCCACCTCCATCACCCCCACCCTCAGAGTGGAGCCCCAGGCCCCCAAGGTGGTAGGAGGAGAGACCCTGGGGAGTTTCTCAGGTCTACGCGTGGGCCAGGGGGACGAAGAAAAGCCCTCAGCGGCCACGTTTAGCTTTGGGCAGCCGGACAACGGAGGGGGGCTAGGGTTAGCCACGGGGGCAGCCCAGTTTAGTTTTGGGTCGGCCCTCCAGCAAGGGAAGCTAGCCGAGGCTGCGTTTGGCGAGGCGGATTCTACCCTGACAGACTTATCCAAGGCTGCATTTAAGCCTCCCGAACCAGCCGCCATGTCTGTCATTAAGCCTGTGTTCTCCACATCAGCAGCCACCTCCTTCAGCAGCCTCCTAGCGGCACCCCTGTCTTCCCCCTCAACCACCCTGGAGAAGGAGCCCCCCAAAACCCCCACCCCCCCGGCAGACCCCACTCCACCCCCAGAGCCTGCTTCCTCACAGCCTAGCCCCTCCGTCAGCCCCCCTATCGTTGAACCTGAGGTTACTACATCCCCAGAGCCCTCAGTTACCCCTACCATCTATGAAAAATCCCCAACGCCCCCAGCTCCCACCTCCGCCTCTACCACCTCTTTCCCCCCTGCCTCCACACCAGCCCAGGCAGCCCCAAGCACCACCCCAGAGCCTGTCCGTGAGACCACGCCTGCCCCTGAGGCCTCACCACCCGCAATCACCCCCACCCCGGAGGCCCCACCACCAGCCTACCCGGCCCCCAGCTCAGACAAACCTGGCTCCATCTTCACTCAGCCACCAGCCGTCACCGCAGTTAGCACCACTGTAGCCATCACCAGTCTCACCCCGGTCATCAACACTGCTGCCCCCGCCACCACCACCCCTACCAACTCCAACTCCATATTCGGGCAGCCCGCTCCAGCCCCAGCGGCTGCTGGTGGCTTTGGTTCCACCGGCTTCAGTGCTTCCCCTGCTGCAGGCGCAGCAGCTGGCTTCGGGAAACCCATATTCGGTCAGACAGGCGGGTTCGGCCAGCCTGCTGCTAATGCAGCCAGTGGCTTCGGTTTTGGCCAGTCTGCATTCGGGGCCAGCCCGGGATTTGGACAACCCGCAGCTGCCTCCCCTGCTGCAGTTGCCAGTACCACTGCTAGTGGAGGTGGTCTGTTTGGAGCCCCCAGTGTCAGCAATGCAAGCAGCTTTTCCTTTGGCACTCCCAGCGCAAGTACGGCCAGCAGTACGTGCACGGGCCTGTTTGGGCAGCCGAGTGCTACCCCGGCCTTCGGGCAGCAGAGTGCTGGGTTTGGACAAGGCTCTGTGTTTGGAAGCAACACCACCACTACATCCTCCACTGGTTTCAGCTTTGGACAGCCTGCAGGTGAGTGTGTGTGTGTAACACGTGTGTGTGAAAATCCACTAATACGAAGTAGCTTTTTGGCCTCCGCATTCCATATCACAAAACTGGGAACTGGTTCAACCCTAGAATTCATCACCAATGTAATGTATTTTCTGTTCAAATATTTTTTATTGAACACACACAAGAATGGTGTATAGGTATGAAAGACATGTGTACAGTTCTTATCTAAACATAAGAGAACAGACATGAACAACAAGACCCAGAGTTCTGGACACAAAACAAATATTACAAAACACGACATACAGAACAGGGACAGGTAGAAAGAAAAAGGGTAGATGTAACCCCCCCACTTATACCCCCCTTTATCCCCCCCTATTCCACCCTATTCCTCTCCCGACTGCTCGAGTGTCGGGGCCAGCACACGCTGCCCAAAGGTAGATTACAATATGACAGTTGAGAGTGCGTTAAAAAGTACAAATTCACAGCACCGACTGGTCCAGGTAAGAGAGGAAAGGCTGCCAGATTTGATCAAATGTTGATAATTTATTGTTCAGAATATATCTAATTCTTTCTAAGTGTACAGTTTTTGCCAATTCCAATGTAATGTATTTTCTAAGTGGCAGACAGCTCAGGTACGTGTCTTGTTGGAACATCTTCCCTCCCTTGGACAACACCATGACACTGTGAGGTTGTTTTAAGCCAGTCTAGTATTTACACAGATGGCCTCTCAAGCTGCCAATCTATCTCTCTGACTGGATTTACAATCTACTTAGTAATCAGACAATACCTTGAATGCTTAAGGATTGGATTACCAGATTCTAGTTGATTTTGACAAATACTCTCCAAATTTCATATTTAGGACTATAAGACTGCTATCATTTTAGCCATGGTATGTTCACCTACACAAACACAGCATAGTTAGGGAAAGAAGCAATCCTTGACACATGATAACAATCATGACGATCCATAATAAATACAAATAGGGACTCAGTAAACTACTATGTTGGAGGAAGTTGGCACTAAACACTGGTCTAGGATCAGTTTTGTTTCACCTGGTACAGATGTGGTTAGGGTTGGGGATGGTGGTTAGCTGATTCCTGATCTTTACGTATAGGGGCAAGTTTGTTCTACCTTGACAGTGTAACCCCCAGTATGATAAGGTGTTCAGGCTACATGTTACCAAATATTGCAAAACTGCAAATTACACTACCACCATAATGACGATGACATAAACCAAGGCCTTGTAATGTGTTTTGAAGAGATGATATAGTGAACCATTTTAATTAAGCAGAAGTGGGCCGTCAAAGTGTGGGTTTGACTGCTAGGGAATGTAACCCAGGTCAGAGGCTAGTGTGTCCCAGACGGCCCAGCAGCTGGTTGGCCTCTCTGGGTTACTGGAGTCAGTCAGATGGAGGGGGTGGGAGTGATGGGATATGTGGGGTGGCTTTGGGTTAGAGACGGTTGGGTGGGTAAAAGGAGAGGGTGTGAACTGTGAATGTTGTCGGTGGTGTAGGCTAAGGATTGTCAGTGGGTGAGAAAATCGGGGTGTTGCCCCATTCCCAGGGATTCTCTGAATTCTCCCCCGTGCCAACAGGCTGGGTTGGCCGCAGGGAGAGACAGCTGATCTGTATGTGGTACAACTCAGCAGTTTTAGGACCAAGTTCACTGTGTCTGTCCTATGGCTAAGTGTTCCCACCCAGATAGGCTAATTCTGTTTTACCACAGTGTCAGTGTATCTGTCTGTCCATAGGTCTGCACTGCAAGTAGTGGAGATAGACTTCCATTTCAAAGCCTTGATGTGATTACTTTTTCATTTTATCTACACAAAGCTCTTAACATGTAATCCCCCACAATGTTTCCGGCTAACTGGACATAATAAGATGTACCTAGAGGAAGTTGTGCCTGACACAAGCATTATGTTGATATTGTTTGGAGGTAGCAGGGTCACACTGTCTGAAAGTCATGAGAATAAAAGGAAATATGTTCCTATTTATCTGTAGAGGAGGTTGTGATAGGGGTTAATTGAACTAGGGTGTGTGTGGTCACTGGTGCGCATGTGTGTACCACTGTCAGTGCCTTTGTCTGTTTTTACTGTTTAAGCAAGGCAATAGATGCAGTGAGGAGAGCAGCCCTGGGTCAGACAGTCATTTGTCTGCGCTGCAGAGCCTACAGAAGGTTCAACATGAATTACATTACCCTGCATCAGAGCAGGGCTGGTCAATGTCACACTTAACAGAGCTTGATTGAGTAAGACATAGCCAAAGACAAGACTGTGGAATCTGTCTTGAAACAGAGGAGTAGGCTTAATCACCTGACCTTGTCCAATTAGAATGCTCAATTTTGCGGAAATCAGAGAGACTATGACTTTGCGCTATATCCTTAGGGGTGATTTTATATGAATTAATTAGCAGTCACATTTTGTAGAGAGGCGCTGAGTGATATCTAAGGGAGTGTCAATAGCCAGGGTCATAGTCTATTTGTTTCAAAATTTATTTTTGTGGGTCTGAGGTGACAGCAGCCTGTATTCTATCCACAATAGCCAACTAGCCACGCCAGTACAGCAACACATGTCACACTGTAAATGGCCCTAGCATTCCTATTGAGTCTGGATGTGTTCTTCATTCCCATGTATTATTTCTGTCCCCTTAATGGCTGGTGAGTTATTTCGGTCAGCATATTGTCAGTGTAGCTACAATATGTGAACTTGCCAACAGACTGTTACGTTTTTATTTTGGAGCACGTTCACAAACTGTGCCTATGAACACTCATTCATAAAATTGTTTTCAATGCCCCATTGACATTGACTGTTACTTTATAGAAAATGTGTATACAGAGTCAGAAGCATTTATTTTACGCCCCTTACCTGTTAAAAAAACAAAAACACCACACATGGACTAATTCAAGCCACACAAAATGTTGGGGTTGGTGTCTTGAATTAGTTTAGTCATTTCAGAGATGGGTGAGTTCCATTGGCAAGTTCCGGGCCCAGACTAAAGGCAGTCCCAGCATTCATTTGTAGAGCTGTCCCCATACGCTGAGAAGACAACATTTTCATGCTCTGACTGATTATTATGGGGGAATTGACTCTGGGCGTGAGGGATTTTATGGACAGTCGTGCAGCCAGCTTTCTAAAAGATGCCAATTTAAACAGGGAATGAGTAGAGGCCCAGGGATATGGGGAGTTGGATGTTGGGAGATATCCTGGGATCCGCTGGGTAGTGTGGCTGGCTTTCTCACACACAGCACACGCTTTGCCGCATACACACCAGTTCCATCCATCTAGAGTTTGTCACAAGGCTGATCACACTTCATACATTTCCAGTGTACCCGGTGGCATTGTGTCAGAAATATAAGTGGAGAGGGTGGGGATTTGTCTCTGTGTTCCATCGTCTACCCCCTCAGTCATCGATAACCTGCGAGGAAAATTGTTCTCTGTCGCCTTAGTCTAATGCTACTGGAACGAGACCATCCATAAAATGACTGCACTAGCAGTGTACACACACACACAGTTCTGACTTCCTAGCACTGTCATCATCGCTAACCTTTACTGCACATCCCAAGCATCATTTGTGATGGTGGCATGGATGTATTGGAGAAGTACAGAGCCTGCTAAATATACAGTGTACAAAACATTAGGAACACTTTCAATGACAGACTGACCAGGTGAATCCAGGTGAAAGCTATGATCCCTTATTAATGTCACCTGTTAAATCCACTTCAATCATGTAAATGAAGGGGAGGAGACCGGTTAAAGAATAATTTTTAAACCTTGAGACAATTGAGACATGGATTGTGTATGTGTGCCATTGAGGGTGAATGGGCAAGAAAAAATATTTAAGTGCCTTTTGAACGGTGTATGGTAGTAGGTGCCAGGCACACCAGTTTGAGTGTGTCAAGAACTGCAACGCTGCTGGGTTTTTCACGATCAACAGTTTCCCGTTTGTATCAAGAATGGTTAACCACCCAAAGGACATCCAGCAAACTTGACACAACTGTGGGAAACATTGGAGTCAACATGGGCCAGCATCCCTGTGGAACGCTTTCGACACCTTGTAGAGTCAATGCCCTGTCGAATTGAGGCTGTTCTGAGGGCAAAAGGGGATGCAATTCAATATTAGCAAGGTGTTCCTAATGTTTTGTACACTCAGTGTATATCTAATTATTATTTTCTGTCTTCTTCGCTCCCAGCTTTCGGAAGCTCCTCCACTACCTCAGTGTTTGGACAACAGCCCAGTGGTGGGAGTGTCTTTGGACAGGTAACATTCACATTTTACTATGTGTACAAAATAGAAAATCATCCTACCATTTGACGTGTAACACTTCAGAGAAGACCCCCAAATGCCCCTCTTCAAATGCGAACACACACCACACCACTCACATACACATTAGATGTATTATTGCATTTGGGTAAGAACTCATCAGAGAGGCCCATGCACTAACTACTGCATAACCAACGCTGGTCATTATGACCTTGTTGTGACTGTGGCTGTGCCCCCAATTCTCCCCAGCAGCAGCCATCCAGTGGTGGGGGTCTGTTTGGGTCTAGCTCTTCCACAGTAGCAGGCTCCCAGCAGGCAGGGGGAGGCTTCTTCAGTGGCCTGGGGGGAAAACCCAGTGAGGACGCCGCCAACAAGAACCCCTTCGGCACTACCACCGCCACCGGGGGCTTCAGACAGCCCAACCAGACAGGTGAGAGGACCCACAGGGGTGGAAAAGTGTTGTAGCAGAAAGGATGACTCATCTTAGAATTAAACTTCCTGTGAAATTTTAGGACAGTTATCATTAGCAAGAGACCCTTTGATTGACAGCCCAATTGCACAGGATGATAAAGTTGACTGATATACTCACTTTTAATGCTGCTTCGTTTAATACCTGCAAGCAATACAATGAGAATCACTAGAGTTTAGATGAGAGCACAAATATTTTGTGCATTAAAACATTATCAAGGTAAATGTTTTCCTGTACTTGTAGGGAAGTAGCCAATATAATCAATTTTGTTTCTAAACACAGCCTCACCTAAATCAATTTTCCTCAGCATTCTGCTGCGAGCCTTAATCTCATAAGCAGAGGAGTGATTTAGCCTGTTGATGCTGGAGGCACTGACAGCGTATGTGTTGTCCTATCTGTGACACAACCCGAGTCATATGTTACTGCTCAACAGACTGACTGACATAGTTTTACATAGCAAATAGGCTTCTATCTGTATGTTTTCTTATTGTTCTAATGCACACAAACTGCATCGAATCATCCATGTTTGTTCTGTAGATGAATGCAAATATGTTCATATTTTCCCGACCTTGAGGTGGTACGTGATTAGTTTGTGTTAAACTGTGTTAATGAAAACATGAGTCATTTTTTCCTCCAAGCTATATTTCACAGTGGTACTATACATGTAGGCTAGATGAATAGAAATATCCACCTTGATATGCATTTGAGCCGCCCCCATACTATTCTACTATGCCCTCTTTTGTTTTAAATTGAAATGGTGCAGAATTCTGATTATGGCTATCTGAATATGTATGACCCATTTCAAAGGGACTATTTTTTAGGATAATATATCCCTTGCATGCCAAAGGCATTGATTCTTATGAGAAATGTCATTCTCTGGCACTCACCTATTGCCTTCTAGGAAATGTTCCCTGAACAAATCCTACCCACATTGTTTTACCCATGTTTTCACCCATGTTTATTTTCTCAGTGCAGTGCATGATGTGCATGTAGACCATTAGCTTTTAGTCAAATTCCTAAATTCCATTAGTTCTTGGACACTCACCTTTGGGAAGAGAAATGCAAATAAGTATTTTCCTTGAGTAGCTCTTAACGGACAGTAGGCATTGTGCCATGCTGCCTAATACATCAAGTGTCCGTCCCAATGTCTTCCACACACACCTAATACCATTCAGCCACTGTGGCAGTCACATATCCATTTCCTCCATCTGCCTGTCTCTGATGAAAAGTGACCCCCTTTATCTGATATTGCTGATCAAGCTCCTTAATGCCCGAAGATGTCTTCTTCTCCTGCACCCAGTTATTGATTGGCATCATTGTCAGTCATGTAACTTGTTCATGTAATCACCCAACTCTGAGAATCTATTTTGATTTGAAAGGCGATTATTTTATTTTCACATTGGTTGCGTTCAAATAACTATCTTGTAAATTGTTGGAGTGTGAAAGTGCTAAATTGCTGAAAGTGGATGACATGTTTGGAAATCTTCCACCTACACAGTGTTCTGTGGCATTTACACCTTAAATCTAGTGAAGTACTTGCCATGAGCAGTATTACCATATGGCCAATGCAAAAACACTCAGCCTTGGAAAAGTATGAAAACGGCCCCTAGAAAATAGACTAATTCCTCGATGAATGCGAAAAGCCATTTCCAGTCTGTCACCAGCAGACTCTCACTAGCGCCGTGCTAAAAGCCCAGAGAGGATTTAATGATAGAAAATGAGGTTTCATACATTTCTCCAGTGGTATAAAAAAGAATGGAAAGATTTAAATGAGTCTTGAACCCCCCCCTACCAAAATAAAATAAATATATATACAGCTCTGGAAAAAATTTAACCACTGCAAAATTATCAGTTTCTCTGGTTTTACTATTTATAGGTATGTGTTTGGGTAAAAATAACATTTTTGTTTTATTCTATAAACTACTGACAACATTTATCCCAAATTCCAAATAAAAATATTGTCATTTAGAGCATTTATTTGCAGAAAATGACAACTGCTCAAAATAACAAAAAATATGCAGTGTTGTCAGACCTCGAATAATGCAAAGAAAATAAGTTAATGTTCATTTTTAAACAACACAATACTAATGTTTTAACTTAGGAAGGGTTCAGAAATCAATATTTGGTGGAATAACCCTGATTTTGTGGTCCTCTGTAGCTCAGCTGGTAGAGCACGGCGCTTGTAACGCCAAGGTAGTGGGTTCGATCCCCGGGACCACCCGTACACAAAAAATATGTATGCACGCATGACTGTAAGTCGCTTTGGATAAAAGCGTCTGCTAAATGGCATATTATATTATATTATATTATTATTATTATTATATATTATATTATTATATTTTCAATCACAGCTTTCATGCGTCTTGGCATGCCCACCACCAGTCTTTCACATTGATGTTGGGTGACTTTATGCCACTCCTGGCGCAAAAATTAAAGCAGCTCTGCTTTGTTTGATGGCTTGTGACCATCCATCTTCCTCTTGATCACATTCCAGAAGTTTTCAATGGGGTTCAGGTCTGGAGATTGGGCTGGCCATGACAGGGTCTTGATCTGGTGGTCCTCCATCCACACCTTGATTGACGTGGCTGTGTGGCATGGCACATTGTCCTGCTGGAAAAACCAATCCTCAGAGTTGGGGAACGATGTCAGAGCAAAAGGAAGCAAGTTTTCTTCCAGGACAACCTTGTACGTGGCTTGATTCATGCATTCTTCACAAAGACAAATCTGCCTGACTCCAGCCTTGCTGAAGCACACCCAGATCATCACCGATCCTCCACCAAATTTCACAGTGGGTGCGAGACACTGTGGCTTGTAGGCCTCTCCAGGTCTCCGTCTAACCATTAGACGACCAGGTGTTAGGCAAAGCTGAAAATTGGACTCATCAGAGAAGATGACCTTACTCCAGTCCTCTACGGTCCAATCCTTATGGTCTTTTGCAAACCTTATCATTGATGAAGGGCTTTTTTCTAGCTTTGCACGACTTCAGCCCTGCCCCTAGGAGCCTGTTTCAAACTGTCCTCGCCGTGCACTTCACCCCAGCTGCCGTTTGCCATTCTTTTTGTAGGTCACTTGATGTCATCCTGCGGTTGTTGAGTGACATTCGAATGAGTTGGCGGTCATCCCGGTCAGTAGAGAGTCTTTTTCGCCCTCTGTCGGTCTGTAGCTTTGTTGTCCCTAATGTCTGCTGCTTGACCTTGTTCTTATGAACAGCCGTCTTTGAAATTTTAAGGATGGAAGCAATCTGACGCTCACTGTATCCCTCTGCCAGTAAAGCCAGAATTGAACCCTTCTTTTCCTCACTCAAAACTTTCCTTTTCAACTCTTTTGGCATGGTCAATAGTTATTTTTTGATTAATATAACTTTGGGGGTACTATTAGCACTGTTTTTGCCATCTAGCTGGTCCTATTGCAAAAGGATAGTGATGACCACAGCAGTGGTTTTGATACTTTTCCTTGTTAAATAAGATTTGGTTCAGGTGATCACCTAATCAGTACATAATTCATTAGAATGGGGTGTGCCTGTGTTGGAATTCAACAGACACTGGAATGGAATGGCTGTCATACATGTAGAGATGCTGATTTAAGAAAAATGTGCAGTGGTCTCTTAATTTTTTACACAGCTGTGTATATATGACCTCTGAACGTATTCACACCCCTTGACTTTTTACACATTTTGTTGAAACCATCTCTCCCAATTGGTGCAATCCCTTTCTCCTACAACTACCAGCAACAGACTGTATCACCGCCAAAGCTATGGACTGTCCATGGATTAAATTGAGATTTTTTGGTCACTGGCCTACACACAATACCCCATAATATCAGTGGAATTATGTTTTTCAACGTTTTTACAAATTAATAAAAAATGAAAAGCTGAAATGTCTAGAGGCAATATGTATTCAACCCCTTTTGATATGGAAAGCTTAAATGAGTTCAGGAGTAAAAAATGCTTAACAAGTCACATAATAAGTTGCATTGACTCTGTGCAATAATAGTGTTTAACATGATTTTTGAATGACTACCTCATCTCTGTATCCTACACATACAATTATCTGTAAGGTCCCTCAGTCGAGCAGTGAATTTCATGCACAGATTCAACCACAAAAACCAGGGAAGTTTTCCAATGCCTCACAAAGAAGGGCACCTATTGGTAGCTTGGTAAAAATAAAGTTATTAATTACACTTTGGATGGTGTATCAATACACCCAGTCACTACAAAGATACAGGCATTCTTTCTAACTCAGATGCTAGAGAGGAAGGAAACCGCTCAGGGATTTCACCATGAGGCCAATGGTGACTTTAAAACAGTTAGAGTTTAATGGCTGTGATAGGAGAGAACTGAGCTTGAAGAATTTTGAAAAGTATAATGGGCAAATGTTTCACAATCCAGGGGTGGAAAGCTCTTAGAGACTTACCCAGAAAGGCTCACAGCTGTAATCGCCGCCAAGGTGCTTCTAGAAAGTATTGACACTACAAAGTATTGACTCAGGGGTGTGAATACTTACAGTACCAGTCAAAAGTTTGGACACACCTACTCATTCCAGGGTTTTTCTTTATTTTTTGTATTTTTTACATTATAGAGTAATAATGAAGACATCAAAACTATGAAATAACACATATGGAATCATGTAGTAACCAAAAAAGTGTTAAACAAATCAAAATATATTTTATATTATTATTATTTTAGTTTTTGGTTTAAAAAAAGATTGTAAAATCACCAGCAATTCAGCTAAAATGTGTTTTAATTTAGGAAATCTGTTCCCAAGTATTCCCACAAATAAAAAGAGTCTCACAAATCGGCCTGCTGCTGAATCTAGTTACCCTACCCCTGATATACAGGGACGTTCAGGTTTGCTACATCTCTTGTCCTCGCTCTCGTCCACTTGGAAGGGACCAAAAGCCAATTCGAGAACTTTTCTTTGTGAAGCTGTCTAGGGTTTCCCATACCATTACTTAGGTGAGAAGCTTAGCTCAGTGGCGCCCTGTCTAGAAATCTTTTGGGATCTTTTTACATCGATTTTAAAAGCATAGTTGAGTCAAAATTCAGTTTTTCCTGTGTTTTATATGAAACTAACTGTTAAAGTGTGAAAACTGTTGATCAGTGTTATTACCTGATAGTTGCTGGTTGAAAATACAATCTACACAGGACCTTCTAATCAGCAGGTTTGCATGGGCGGAAGTTTCGACTTTCCATGGTGACATCACCATGCGGTAAATTGGTTAATAGACCAATAACAAAGAGTTTCAAACCTCTCTGAGTTCCTGCACTTCTTATAGAATATTAGCTCAAAATATTAGCTCAAAATATCACATTTATATAAGTATTCAGACCCTATACTCAGTACCATGTTGAAGCACCTTTGGCAGCGATTACAGCCTCGAGTCTTCTTGGGTATGACACTACAAGCTTGTCAAACCTGTATTTGGGGAGTTTCTCCCATTCTTCTCTGCAGATCCTCTCAAGATCTGTCAGGTTGGATGGGGCGCGTCACTGCACAGCTGTTTTCAGGTCTCTCCAGAGATGTTCGATCAGGTTCAAGTCTGGGCTCTGGCTGGGCCATTCAAGGACATTCAGAGACTTGTCACGAAGCCACCCCAGTCTGAGGGCATGAGCACTCTGAAGCAGGTTTTCATTAAGGATCTCTCTGTACTTTGCTCCGTTCATCTTTCTCTCAACCCTGACTAGTCTTCCAGTCCCTGCCGTTGAAATAAATCCCCACAGCATGGTGCTGCCACCACCATGCTTCACCGTAGGGATGGTGCCAGGTTTCCTCCAGACGTGACGCTTTGCATTCAGGCCAAGGAGTTCCATCCTGGTTTCATCAGACCAGAGAATCTTGTTTCTCATGGTCTGAGAGTCCTTTAGGTGCTTTTTGGCAAACTCCAAGCGGGCTGTCATGTGCCTTTTACTGAGGAGTGGCTTCCGTCTGGCCACTCTACCATATAGGCCTGATTGGTGGAGTGCTGCAGAGATGGTTGTCCTTCTGGTAGGTTCTCCCATCTCCACAGAGGAACTCTGGAGCTCTGTCAAAGTGATCATCGGGCTCTTGGTCACCTCCCTGACCAAGGCCCTTCTCCCCTGATTACCACAGGTGGATGCCAATCAAGTTGTAGAAACATCTCAAGGATGATCAATGGAAACAGGATGCACCTGAGCTCAATTTCGAGTCTCATAGCAAAGGGTCTGAATACTTATATAAATATTTTTTTTTTTTTTTTTTTTTTTGCAACATTTTCTAAAAACCAGTTTTCGCTTTGTCATTATGGGGTATTGTGTGTAGATTGATGAGGAAAAAAGTATTTAATCAATTTTAGAAAAAGGCTGTAACGTAACAAAATGTGGAAAAAGTCAAGGGGTCTGAATAATTTCCGAATGCACTGTAAATATGAACAGGTCCGGCACTAAGAATTTGTGCCCGCACCTATTTCAGTCTACATACTATACTGCTATAAATCCACTTTTAACCTCTGTCTGTCCTACAGGAGGGACCACCCTGTTTGGGAACAGCGGGGCCAAAACCTTTGGCTTTGGCTCTCCAGCGACAACATTCGGAGGGGGGGAGCTGACGTCCAGTGGGACCTTCAGCACGGGAGGTGGGAGCGTGGCCGCTCAGGGGTTCGGCTCCTTCTCCACCCCTGCCAAACAGACAGGTAGGCTACACCCTCAACCCAAAAGAAGTGACTAGTCCACCCAGCTTTGTCAACTCCAGACTTTTGTGTCCATGGTTATATGTTCATAAGTGTTGTCCAACAATGTCACAAATAACCCTTCTGTTATTAGACTTTGGGTCTCAATAGCCTGTCTCACAAAATATATACATTTGTGATTTTGAAGAGTATGTCGATTATACAGTGGGGAAAAAAAGTATTTAGTCAGCCACCAATTGTGCAAGTTCTCCCACTTAAAAAGATGAGAGGCCTGTAATTTTCATCATAGGTACACGTCAACTATGACAGACAAAATGAGGGAAAAAAATCCAGAAAATCACATTGTAGGATTTTTTATGAATTTATTTGCATATTATGGTGGAAAATAAGTATTTGGTCAATAACAAAAGTTTCTCAATACTTTGTTATATACCCTTTGTTGGCAATGACACAGGTCAAACGTTTTCTGTAAGTCTTCAAGGTTTTCACACACTGTTGCTGGAATTTTGGCCCATTCCTCCATGCAGATCTCCTCTAGAGCAGTGATGTTTTGGGGCTGTCGCTGGGCAACACGGACTTTCAACTCCCTCCAAAGATTTTCTATGGGGTTGAGATCTGGAGACTGGCTAGGCCACTCCAGGACCTTGAAATGCTTCTTACGAAGCCACTCCTTCGTTGCCCGGGCGGTGTGTTTGGGATCATTGTCATGCTGAAAGACCCAGCCACGTTTCATCTTCAATGCCCTTGCTGATGGAAGGAGGTTTTCACTCAAAATCTCACGATACATGGCCCCATTCATTCTTTCCTTTACACGGATCAGTCGTCCTGGTCCCTTTGCAGAAAAACAGCCCCAAAGCATGATGTTTCCACCCCCATGCTTCACAGTAGGTATGGTGTTCTTTGGATGCAACTCAGCATTCTTTGTCCTCCAAACACAACGAGTTGAGTTTTTACCAAAAAGTTATATTTTGGTTTCATCTGACCATCTCCCAATCCTCTTCTGGATCATCCAAATGCACTCTAGCAAACTTCAGACGGGCCTGGACATGTACTGGCTTAAGCAGGGGGACACGTCTGGCACTGCAGGATTTGAGTCCCTGGCGGCGTAGTGTGTTACTGATGGTATGTTTTGTTACTTTGGTCCCAGCTCTCTGCAGGTCATTCACTACGTCCCCCCGTGTGGTTCTGGGATTTTTGCTCACCGTTCTTGTGATCATTTTGACCCCACGGGGTGAGATCTTGCGTGGAGCCCCAGATCGAGGGAGATTATCAGTGGTCTTGTATGTCTTCCATTTCCTAATAATTGCTCCCACAGTTGATTTCTTCAAACCAAGCTGCTTACCTATTGCAGATTCAGTCTTCCCAGCCTGGTGCAGGTCTATAATTTTGTTTCTGGTGTCCTTTGACAGCTCATTGGTCTTGGCCATAGTGGAGTTTGGAGTGTGACTGTTTGAGGTTGTGGACAGGTGTCTTTTATACTGATAACAAGTTCAAACAGGTGCCATTAATACAGGTAACGAGTGGAGGACAGAGGAGCCTCTTAAAGAAGAAGTCACAGGTCTGTGAGAGCCAGAAATCTTGCTTGTTTGTAGGTGACCAAATACTTATTTTCCACCATAATTTGCAAATAAATTCATTACAAATCCTACAATGTGATTTTCTGGATTTTTTTTCTCAATTTGTCTGTCATAGTTGACGTGTACCTATGATGAAAATTACAGGCCTCTCTCATCTTTTTAAGTGGGAGAACTTGCACAATTGGTGGCTGACTAAATACTTTTTTTCCCCACTGTAACTTTTTCAAGCAAGCATCTTTTAATTGCGAAATTATTGCCTTGTTTCAAGGTGGTATTACAAGGTAATGTCTGTCAGTGCGGTGGGTGGCTCAGTGTCGTGTGAGGGTCAGAGAGTGGGGCAGGTGGTGATGGATGAACACTCCACACACGCATCACTTCCTCCCCGGCCAGGCAGTGGTGGTGGCTCCTCTCCCTGCAACCTCAGCTGCCCCCAGCTAGCTCCCCAAGGAGAGACTCACTCTGTCCTCCTTCATCATCTGAGCTACAGCGAGAGTCACCTTATCTCTTTCTGCCAGTACAGCACTAGTGGAACACGGTCAGGCTACATTCCACAATGCAGCATCTTTCATAGCTAGTGAACAGTCTGATCTATTTGGCCAGAGCAGTCATAGCATACATTTTGTCAACGCAGTTATAATATTTCCTCAAGCTAGCTAAAATTATAGCATGTCTTAGCAATTATAAAGTCATAGCGTTCCCCAAAAGTTATTACCGCTGCAGTTTTGTCTTGGCATTTTACTCAGCTAGCTATCTAGCACTGCCAAATGACATCACCTCTCCTAGCTTTACCACAGGTAGCATCTACCCCTAAACTCTTGGGCCCATATTCACAAAACGTCTCAGAGTAGGAGTACTGATCTAGGATCAGGTCTCTCCTATAAATCATTAATGATCCTAGATCAGTACTCCTACTCTGAGACGCTTTGTGAATACGGGACCTGGAGGTTTTCGGTGCCGCTCTCGGTTCTATGGCTCTTATCATTGGCCAGGGTCCAAGGAATGTAATCCTATTACATTAGCCCAATCAATTATTCACTGGGCCGTGCTCGTCTTTTAGCCAGGCTGTAATTTCAGTGCTCCCCTCTCTTTAACTCCTCCTCCCTCCCTTCTCAGCCCCAGAGAGAGTGTGGTTGGCAATCAATTCCTATCAAGCCCTCATCGCCCCTATGCTATGTGTGTGTGAGAGCAGTTGTCCCTGAACAGAAATGGAGAGCAGACGATAATACAACAACACAACGTTATTAATCATGTTGGGGCGATTAGTTTTAGGGCAACACCAGGTGTGACATACACATCGGTAAAAGTTTAGGAATAAGGTAAACATTGCCTCTATTTGCATCTATTTTTGAAACCTTTGCTATTATGTATGGTTAGTATTAGGCTGTGGTAAGTGTCCCCTGAGACATTCTGCCCTGCCCGCCCGTCTCAACCAATACAAGAATATTGCTCATACACATGTCAAGCGTATTCATGTAACCATCCCTCTCACATGTATTTTATCAAATGCAAAGTAACCCTTCCTCACACACCCCTCTCCACCCCTCTCTCTGTACCCCTACAGGTGGTTTTGGGAGTGCCCCTGTGTTCGGTAGCCCCCCTGCTTTTGGGGGCTCCCCGGCGTTTGGGGGGGCAGCAGCATTTGGCTCGGCCCCCTCTTTCAGCAGTCCCATGGGCTCCTCAGCCAGCAAGGTGTTTGGAGAGGGCACAGCAGCCGCCAACGTGGGAGGATTCGGGTAAGGGAGACACCCCTGTTAGACATGTGTTGGATATGAAGAGTGAATACTTTTAGAATTGTTCTAAATTGACAGTGTAGAAGAGCTGAATATTCTTGATAATACTGACCATAAAGGCTGCAGAATGACTTACAATGTTTTAATGCATTTATTGCTGTGTATGTGATATTGTCTTGGTTGGTTGTCATGTATATTAAAAAGATTGACTAATAAAAGGAAGGCAATATGGGCGAGGTTTCAGCCACCTGAGGGGCTAGTTATGCAGCACCTCACGTTCCAGCTGACAGCACAATGACACGTCCCAGACACTGTTTTCATATTCACACATGGAACTTGTCACCAAGATTCCCTGATAAATAAGCAATAGCATGCTAACCCCCAACCTAATTTCTCAACTTGGCCGTAATACCCTAAGCCCCGCTCAGCTACACTAGCTAGTTTTCCATCCAATTGGTGACAGATTTTCATGTAAATATTATAACATTTGCATAAAGAATATAAATACGTATTTTCCCACCAGTGGTGTTTCCACCAAACGGACTTGTTGTGGATAAAAATCAGTGCGTGATGATGTAGTGCGCACAATGTACTTTTTCGCTTAAGTTTTCATGTACAGTGCCTTTTCAAAATGTTATTGTTACAAGGTGGGATTAAAATGGATTGAATTGTCTTTTTTTGTCAACAATCTACAGAAAATACTAATGTCAAAGTAGAAGAAGAAAAAAAATGTGTGAAAAATAAAACACTATCTTGATTACATAAGTATTCAACCCCAGAGTCAAAAATACATGTTAGACTCACCTTTGGCAGTGATTACAGCTGTGAGTCTTTCTGGGTATGTCTATAAGAGCTTTGCACAACTGGATTGTACAATATTTACACATTATTCTTTAAAAAATTCTTCAAGCTCTGTCAAGCTGGTTGTTGATCATTGCTAGATAGCCATTTTCAACTCTTGCCATAGATTCTCAAGCCGATTTAAGTCAAAACTGGAACTGGGCCACTCAGTAGCATTCAATGTCGTCTTGGTAAGCAAGTCCAGTCTATATTTGGCCTTGTGTTTTAGGTTATTGTCCTGCTGAAAGATTAATGAATCTCCCAGTGTCTGTTGGAAAGCAGACTGAACCAGGTTTTCCTCTAGGATTTTGCCTGTGCTTACCTCTATTCCGTTTCTTTTGATCCAAAAAAACGTCCTAGTCCTTGCCGATGACAAGCATACCCATAACATGATGCAGCCACCACCATGCTTGAAAATATGGAGAGTGGTACTCCGTGATGTGTTGTGTTGGATTTGCCCAAACATAACGCATTGTATTCAGAACATGAAGTAAAAAAATATATTTAAAATAACAGTGCCTTATTGCAAACAGGATGCATGTTTTGGAATATTTTTTATTCTGTACAGGCTTCCTTCTTTTCACTGTCATTTAGGTTAGTATTGTGGAGTAAGTACAATGTTGTTGATCCATCCTCCGTTTTCTCCTATCACAGCCATTAAACTCTGTAACTGTTTTAAAGTCACCATTGGCCTTATGGTGAAATCCCTGAGCGGTTTCCTTCCTCTCCGGCAGCTGAGTTAAGAAGGACGTCTGTATCTTTGTAGTAACTTGGTGTATATACACCATCCAAAGTGTCATAATAACTTCACCATGCTCAAAGGGACATTCAATGTCTGCTTTTTTATTTGTATCTATCTACCAATAGGTGCCCTTTGCCAGGCATTGGAAAACCTCTCTGGTCTTTGTGGTTGAATCTGTGTTGGAAATTCACTGCTCGACTGAGGGACCTTACAGATAATTGTACGTGTGGTGTACAGAGATGAGGTAGTCATTCAAAAGTCATGTTAATTAAGCAATAAGGCACAGGAGGCAGTGCTGTAGCATGAATACAGCCACAGGTATATGGCGTTGTTTGGCCCGACGCGATAAGTAACCCATTTACTTATTATATTAAAATAACAATGAATTACAGATTTTCATTAAAGATGTTATTTTGATAAGTAAATTCATACAATTTCATTCTTCCACCAGAAGATATACAGTAGTCTGGACAAAACTCTAGTTGTTAGTTATTTTGGTCATGTTGCTATGGACGCGACCCAGTTGTTAATAATTTTTGCGTAGTTGCTATGCAAAAGGATTGGTCGCCCGTTCTAAACAAAATGGTTGCTATGCACGCTGGATAACGTTCTTTTCACTTACTAGCTAGCTAGCCAACTTCAGCTAACTCAGTCACATCAAACATTGAACTTGGAACGACAGTACACTAGCTGCATTTTCATTTGTTTTAGCTTTTTTTTCAATTGGCATTTACTTGATAATGACATTGATGCATGATTTCGACTGGCTCAGAAAATGTTCTCTCGTCTGGGCACCGTTCACTCTACACGGAGTGTACAAAACATTAGGAACACCTTCCTAATATTGAGTTGCTGCACCCCCTTTTGCCCTCAGAACATCCTCAATTCGTCGGGGCATGGACTCTACAAGGTGTCGAAAACGTTCCACAGGGATGCTGGCCCATGTTGACTCCAATGCTTCCCACAGTTGTGTCAAGTTGGCTGGATGTCCTTTGGGTGGTGGACCATTCTTGATACACACGGGAAACTGTTGAGCGTGAAAAACCCAGCAGCGTTGCAGTTCTTGACACTCAAACCGGTACTCCTGGCACCTACTACCATACTCCATTCAAAGGCACTTACATATTTTGTCTTGCCCATTCACCCTCTGAAAGGCACACGTAGCCAATCCATATCTCAATTGTCTCAAGGCTTAAAAATCATTTTTTAACCGGTTTCCTCTCCTCCTTCTACACTGATTTGAAGTGGATTTAACAGGTGACATCAATAAGGGATCATAGTTTTCAACTGTATTCACTTGGTTAGTCTATGTCAGGGGTGTCAAACGTCCGGCCCACGGGCCGGATCAGGCCCGCAAACGGGTTTAATCCGGCCCGCGAGATGATTTTGAAAAAATAATAATAATAAAAATAAAAATAAAAAATGTTGTCAAGTATAAAAATGCGCTGCAATTTTTCAATAAAATAAACTGCTGTTCCAATTGCGTCCACTGGATGGCGCAATAGCAATTGTGTTAAGCAAGCAAACTGTTTATACCGGGGCAGAGCAAGTAGGTCAAGCACGTGCAGCCAATGAGCTACTTTGTTTTGCCCGCGATATTTATTACGGCTTCTACTTTTAACATTATGTGCTTTGGCACCCTCATTGCCCCAATATGTCTCTGTCAAAAAAGAGAAAAGTGGACGCAGAGTGCAGAGTGTTCCAAGAAAAATGGTCATCCTATTTATTCACGGAATTGAATGGGAAAGCTGTATGTTTGGTGTGTTCAGAGCATGTTGCAGTGCTGAAAGAATTTAACCTTCGTCACCACTATGTGAGTCTTCATGCCGACAAATATGACAACTTTCAAGGACAGCGGAGATGAGAGAAGGTGAATGAACTGTTGGCGGGTCTGAAGAAACAGCAGTCTGTGTTTACTCACAGCCGAGACATCAGTGACGCTGCAGTGAAGGCTAGCTACCTCATTGCTAATGAAATCGCAGTGGCTTCAAAACCATTTAGTGAGGGTGAATTTGTAAAAACATGCATGATGAAGGCAGCGGAGATTGTGTGCCCTGAAAAGCGGCAGGCTTTTGCAAATATCAGCCTGACAAGAAACACAGTTGCAGACAGGATTTCCGATCTTTCAGTGGATTTGGACAGCCAGTTGAAGCAAAAAGTAAAGTCATTTATTGCGTTTTCGGTTGCAATTGATGAAAGCATGGACATTACAGATGTTGCACAACTGGCCATTTTCATCCGCGGAGTTGATGACACATTGACCGTCACCGAGGAGTTCGTGGAGTTGGTGCCGATGACAGATACAACGACAGCAGCTGATATTTTTACCGCACTCGTCGGCGCGCTGGACAGGGTCGGAGTGGACTGGTCCCGCGCTGTCAGCCTGGCTACAGATGGTGCGCCCTCAATGATCGGGAAAAAAGCAGGCGTTGTGACAAAGTTCAGAGAGAAAGTGCAATCTGCAAATGGAGGACGTGATTTTTTGACTTTTCACTGTATTTTGCACCAGGAGGCTTTGTGTTGCAAGTCATTAAAGATGGATAACGTCATGAAGGTGGTCATCCAAACTGTTAATTTCATCCGATCCAGAAGCCTGAATCACCGTCAGTTTGACAGCCTTCTCAGAGAGAAAGACCACATCTATGGCCTGCCATACCACACTGAGGTAAGATGGTTAAGCCGAGGTGCTGTGCTGAGGCGTTTCTTTGATTTACGAGAAGAAATTGAACAGTTCATGGAAGAAAAGGGCAAACCAGTGTTAGAATTTCATTCCGCAGAATGGATGCAGGACCTTGCATTTATGGTGGATGTTACAGAGCACCTGAATAACTTGAACAAACAGCTGCAAGGGTGCAACAAAGTTGCCACGCAGTATTATGACAGCATACGTTCTTTCAAGTTGAAGCTGTCATTGTGGGAGACGCAACTCGCCGGTGGTGATGCAGCTCACTTCCCCTGTCTGAAAAATGTGTGCGCGACCCAACATGTGGCAGACATGAAGCGGTTCAAAGATAAAATAACGGGACTGTTACGGGAGTTTGAGCAACGCTTTCAGATTTATGTTTATATGTTTTTATGTTGATGTGCTATTGTTTTTAATTGATTTTATTTTATTTGTATATTTAACCTATTCTTGACTCTGTGGTTCTTGCACTTGTTTGGGGAACAGGATTTCATTATTTTTATCTACATTTCTGCCTGAGAAATGACACCCTGATATAGTTCTGTGATCTGTGATATACTTCTGTGAATCACTGAGGCATTGTGTGTTTGTGTGTTCTTTGTCCTCAGAACTTTCAAATAACTTGGTGTTTTATGATTAATAGTGATGTTGTGCTTTTGGACACTGTCCTCAGGCTCCAGCTTTATGTTTATATGTTTTTATGTTGATGTGCTATTGTTTTTAATTGTTTTTATTTTATTTG